ATTTTGGCATGATTTGTTATAAAGGGTTAGAGAAAAAATCGTTTATATCATTGTGAATCCGGGATCCAAGTCTTTCTAGCTTCTTGCCATGTCGATAACTAGCTGTGACGTCATTTACCAACACTAACCACACTCTAGATTGGGTGCGTTCAGAGTACTACCGTTGGCTGACAAAAGTTACCACTGGTAGAATTTCTTACCATTGGTATGCCAATGGTACCAATGTTTGCCGAAAAAATTTACCATAGGTAGATTTTTCTGCAGATGAACTAGAGCTCTGTTAGCGATGGTAACTTTTTTAATGACGTCAAACAAAATGGCGGGTACTGATCAAGTCGGTCCTACTAAACAGAGAACCCGAGAGATCTCTAGGTTGACCGGACTGTATTTGGTAAAGTTTATAAAGTTTATAAATAAAATTTATGAATAACTGAGTTCATTTTTACTCTATAAATCGTTTTCTATCTATAAAATTAATAACAAGATTATTCTATGAAAGTTTTCCCTGGGGAAAAAAGTTGAAAAAGTAACAAATCATAGTAATGTTTTTACAACACCTATATACATAAACTCTGTGTATATAGGTGTGAAACGTCTTTTTTAAATGTGATTTTTCTTGACTGAAAGTTTCAGAATCTTTATTTTAATAAATTTCAAGTCTATTTTATGTAAAATAAAAATTTCATTGATTTAATTATTTTACATTTGACAATTCGGAATACAAGTTGGAAAAAATTCTGTAGTGGAGAAGTACTTTACTGTACTAAAAAGTATTTCTGAAAGCATTCTCTTGCTGCAAAATGATTCATGAAGCAAGAATAATAATCTTGGTTCGACATTTTCTTTTAAGAAATCTGTCAATGTTAACAATGGTATACACCAATGTCACAAATGGTACACCAATGGTGCCATTGTTAACATTGGTGAGTTTCCTACCAACTCTACCCAAAAATCGTTCAGAGTACATAGGGGTCCAATGGTACCAACGGTACAAATTGTTACCATTGGCAAAAAGGTGATGGTACCATTGGAATTACTCTGAACGCACCCATTGTCTGCAGAAAAATCTACCATTGGCAAAAAACATTGGTACCACTGGCATGCCAATGGTAATTAATTTTACCAACGGCAACTTTTGTCTACCAACGGCAGAACTGTGAACGCACCCAATGTTCTTTTGTTCTTGTCAGTCACATTATGTCAGTTACAGTTAATGACAGTAAGTCGGTAAATTGCACATCTCTAATTTGAGATTTAGTGGAAAATCAACATTAAACCAGGGCCGTCACTGCCCTCAAATTAGGACCGAATATCGGACCCATTCCCAATGGCACAAAGTGCTAGATTTTCCCAATTTCAGACTTAAAAATTCCCAAAGACGCGTTTTCTCATTTATATCAACTAATTTTCCACACATACATCCTTTATTTGATCCATTTAGCAGTAATGCATGATTGATTTTAATCTGCAACAACCCTATCATATGATCGTTTATTTCTAATTCGAATTTCCTCTGTCATGGAATAGAGTTCTATGGATAGGTCATACGTAGATTGGGTTGTGGAACTTATTTTTTAGGTCACCTGAGTCACTCAGGTGACCTATTGCTATCTGTTTTTGTCCGTCGTCGTCCGTCGTACGTCGTTCGTCGTTCGTCGTCAATCGGTCGTAAACTTTTGAACATTTTCAGCTTCTTCTCTGCAACCACTGAACCAATTTCAACCAAATTTGGCACAAAGCATCTATGGGTGAAGGGGAACAAAAATTGTGAATTTCATGATCCCTGCCCCCCTGGGGCCTGGGGGGTGGGGCCAAAACCACTAAAATTAATGCAATCTTCAAAAATCTTCTTCTTTACTCCTGGACATCAAGCAGTCAAACTGTTTGCATGATTGTAATCAGCATTGAGTCCTTTACCAAAATTGTGAAATTCATGGCCCTGGGGTCAGGGGTTCTTGTACTAGGCGGGGCTAAATAAGTATATAGTGAAAATGCATTATTTCTTTGAAAATCTTCTTCTCTGCTCCTGGGTATTAAATAAACTAACTAAGTACATAGTTATGATGAGCAAGAGTGCCTCTACCAAAATTGTGAATTTTATGGCCCCAGGGTCAGGGGTTCTGGTGTCAGGGCGGGGCTCTATTGATTATATAGAGGAAATACATGAATTCTTTGAAAATCTTCTTCTTTACTCCTGGGTATTAAATAAACTAACTAAGTATATAGTTATGATGAGCAAGAGTGCCTCTACCAAAATTGTGAATTTTATGGCCCCAGGGTCAGGGGTTCTGGTGTTAGGGCGGGGCTCTATTGATTATGTAGTGAAAATAAATGAATTCTTTGAAAATCTTCTTCTCTGCTCCTAGATTTTATATAATTTAACTAAGTACATAGTTATAATGAGCAAGAGTGCCTCTACCAAAATTGTGAATTTTATGGCCCAAGGGTCAGGGGTTCTGGTTTTAGGGCGGGGCTGTATTGATTATATAGTGAAAATACATGAATTCTTTGAAAATCTTCTTCTCTGCTCCTAGGTTTTATATAAACTAACTAAGTACATAGTTATGATGAGCAAGAGTGCCACTACCAAAATTGTGAATTTTATGGCCCCAGGGTCAGGGGTTCTGGTGTCAGGGCGGGGCTCTATTGATTATATAGAGGAAATACATGAATTCTTTGAAAATCTTCTTCTTTACTCCTGGGTATGAAATAAACTAACTAAGTACATAGTTATGATGAACAAGAGTGCCTCTGCCAAAATTGTGAATTTTATGGCCCAAGGGTCAGGGATTCTGGTGTTAGGGCGGGGCTGTATTGATTATACATGTATAGTGAAAAAACATTAAATCTTTGAATATTTTCATCTTTGCTCCTAGGTTTTAAGCAGATGAATTACCTATATAGTTATGAGCAATCCCTAATCTTCAAGAATTGTAAATTTCAAGGCCCCAGGGTCAGTTGTACCATAGTGGGGGGGGGGGCTGTACTTATGTACTGAAAATGAATGAATTGTTTGAAATGTGCGCCTTGGTATTAATCAAATATTTTTGAAAAGCAAGTATGCCTTTCCAAAAATAGTGCAATGTGTGGATCTAGGCCTAAGAGTCAAGGGTTCATGTGTGGTAGCGGCACTACTGATTATTGCTGAATATTACTGATTAGTTGAAATGCATTTTTTGTTCCCCTACCCTGCCTATGGGTATAAAGTAACCAAACTAAGGAACTGCTAAGTGTATAGTTATGATGACCAGATTGTAAATGCTATAGCATCTGGCTTAAAACATGGATCAAATTCAGTCACTGGAAAGTTGTTGAATAATGCTCAGGTGACCTATAAGGCCCAGGGGCCTCTTGTATTATTAAACAAAGATAACCATTATGAGTTAGTTCAAAAAATAAATAAACAATTTTAAAGTGAATTATAAGTTAAAATAAAATCTTGGATACTATCTGTTTCATTTGCATGTGTTAAATAACCAGAACTGGCAGAAAAAATGAAATAAATTGTAGATCTAGGCAATTATTATATGATATTACATTTTAAAGGAAAATTTTTAATATTAACTTGATAATTTCAATAAATTATTTTTTATAATCTAATTTTTTTTATTTATTTCAAATGCAAGTAAACAGTAAGAAATACCCCCTTAATTCCCACATTTCAGTCTCTGTATCATATGGAAAAAAAAGACCTGCTAAGTAAGTAAATGTTTGGTCTGTTAAATATAGATTTTATCAGACCTTATGTCCTGTAAATTTTAGCTTTTCAAGTATACTTTTCAAAGAGTAAAATGGCTTTCATGATTAAATGTTTTTCTTGGGGGGGGGTGTTAATTTAATACATGAAAGTATGTTTAAAATTTTCCCAATTTGACAAAAATGTCGAGGATTTTTCCCAATATAGAGGGACCCGGTCCCCGTACCAAAAGGTACTGTGACAGCCCTGTAAACAGTTAATTTCATATGTGTCTATTTTTAGACATTTGTACTATTTATAGATGTGAGAGCCTATCCTCAATAATTTTTGAGTTATTAAACTATACCTTGTTCTTATTAATGAAATATTGGAGAGATCCGTATGTTCATTATTTATGATTCAGTGGAGCTTCAAAATAATGGAAAATTGACATTTTTCAGCATTTTATGAGACATGTCTATATTTAGGCATTTGAAGCTATAAATAGAAAACGGAAATCCCTGAAAATAATATGCATGGTAGTTATTGGCGTCCAGTCTCTGACATTAGCATATTGAATTTTACAGTATATTTCATAATTTCTTAGCAATGGCATCTTAAACTCTGCCCAAATTTCATTTTTTGGATTTTTCTGAAATATGTCTATTTTTAGTTACATGTTACTAAAAATAACATTGAGATCCCACTCCAATTTTTTCATGAGGGGACATTACTAATACTGATGTTTGACGACACGCATATGATTTGAAAATTTTCCGTAGACAATTTTTTTTATTTAACCTAAAATTTCTCAAAAAATGCCAAATTTTCCATTTTTCACATTTTCAGAAACTATGCTATTTTGTAGAACCGTTTTCTAAGAGTGGGGTTAATTCTGGAATAACTGGTTATATGCCCTGTATTTTTTAACAGTTGATGTTTACTTATGATACAAAGATTTATATTTGAGTTCACTACATAAAGATAAAAATGCATTCATATTTCCTCAATTTTCATGTTTTTGTTTGGTCAAAAATGGCTGAAAATGGCCAAATTCAATGGATCCGTCTCCATGGCAACCGGGTGCACGTGGGAAACTTCTAACACCATATTTGCTGGTTTTGTACCAAGGTGCACCTGTGGTGCAAATTTCATCAAAATCGGAGATATGTCGTTTCCGATTTTTTAGTGCTTACAGAGAATGCATGTTAAGTTATAACACTGCAAACTCAACATTGAAATCAAGAAATAATTAAAGACATTATAAATGCTGAGAACTATGATATAGCAAGATTTTGATGAAATATTTTTCCTGTATTTTCAGCTGACATGGGATTTGCCAGACTGTTTAACTCCCCTCTGAAGCCCCTGGCTGACCTTGACCCTGTGGTTGTGACATTCTGGTATAGAGCTCCAGAACTTTTACTTGGTGCTAGACATTACACTAAAGCTATTGGTAAGTGTTGCACATTCACTTTTACTTGGTGCTAGACATTACACTAAAGCTATTGGTAAGTGTTACACATTCACTTTTACTTGGTGCTAGACATTTCACAAAAGCTATTGGTAAGTGTTACACATTCACTTTTACTTGGTTCTAGACATTACACTAAAGCTATTGGTAAGTGTTATACATTCACTTATATGTATACCTAGTAATTTAGAATCATATTTTTTAAGGAAATTAAAATATTGCAAAAAACAAAAAAATATATTATTGATGTGAAATGGTTGCTTGCCCACAAAGTAGACTTATTTTAAAAGTACATATAATATATATGTAAAATTTGAACATTGTAAAAACAGGTAATAATCGACTTGCCTGAACACTATGTTCATTACTGGGTTGATAGCTAAAAAATGCTTAAGTTTTGGTTTGACAATGGTGCATAATGCAAAAATACGGGGAAAAAAGTGGTGGTAAAAAAAAGCATATTTTAAGAAAAACTCCCATCCAAGAAAAATCTCAAGAGACATATAATTATGTAGGTAATCAAGAACCTTTTTTTTTTTTAGATATATGGGCAATAGGATGTATATTTGCAGAACTTTTAACATATGAACCAATATTTCACTGTCGACAGGAAGACATTAAAACTAGTAACCCTTATCATCACGATCAGCTGGATCGTATATTTAATGTCATGGGTTTCCCACAAGGTGAGATCTACATATACATCTATCTGTAATACTGGTAGATCATAAGATATTGTCATTCAGTGTGGTATGATGCCACAAAACTTTGCTATGAATGGCTTTGTTGGCAGTATCTATAGTGATTTCAAATAAAGAAATATTACTTTTGATGTGACATACTTGAAGATATTAAAAAATCAATCTACTTGTGTCAGTCTATAGTTCTGTAGTTCTTACAGTAGGAGTATCTTTTGAATTTTGATGTATACAGTATTTTGATATAATCACAGACTACATATTGAAATCAATCAGAAAAGAATTATTCAGCTGCATCACTTTACATATTGTTTTTCCTCTTTTGCAGAAAAAGATTGGGAAGATATAAGAAAAATGCCTGAACATAATACATTAACCAAAGATTTTAAAAGATCAAAGTAATAATAATGCTAAGATGGTCAAATATTGATAAATAAGTTGCAGTGTAATACAATGTAAACATGTATTACAAATGAAGAGATATTTAGTACCTGTACATGTACATTTTTTTAAAATGAAAGTCTCTCTCTCTGATAAATACAAAATAATGTAATATTTGTAACTCAACCAGTTTGGCCATAATGCATTAGTTATTTCTAAATATTCAAGAGATGTTTTTGGCTAGATATAGACTATCTATAGTATGATCATGTAATGTATGTATATTATGATGATTATAAATACTGATATTAAACTTTGGATGATGCACTGTATATGTAAAAACTATTATCAAGCGTTTCTGTGGTAAATGTCATTGCCTAATTGATATAATTTTATATTTTCAGCTATTTAAACTGTACACTTGTTAAATATATGGAGAAACATAAAATCAAGGCAGATAGCAAACAGTTTCACCTGGTAAGCTATTTAAACTGTACATTGGTTAAATACTGTAAAAGCAGAAATATTCGTGGGGGATTAAATTTCGTTGTCAACAATTTTCAACGAAATTAAATCCCACTCGAAATTTTTATATGACTATGTAATGTATAGGGTTACGTGCAAAACAAGGAAATTAGATGCCCACGAAACTATTTTCAAAGACAAATCAATGAAATTTTGTGCCCACGAAAGTTTGTGATTCTACAGTACATGCATGTATTAATTGTGTTAATTTGTGTTATGTTATTAATGTTCATGACTGTATGGCGACATGGTAATTGTCAATAAAGTAAATTGAATTGAATATATGGAGAAATGTAAATGCAGATAGCAAACAATTTCAGCGGGTAAGACTGCACAAACAGCAGGTCTTTCATTTTACCGTGGTAATTGAAAAAAACTGTCAGTAAAATGATAAACTTACAATGTGATGTTGCTACCAGGGCATCATGAGAAAATGTTGAATTCACGAGTAAACAAAATTATTTTTTTAAAAAAAGGCCACCTAGTGGTAGATTTCATGCTGAGTATTAGAAAATTTGCTAAAGGCGATAAAAGACTGGTACAGTTAGTCCTTGGACAACTGTTTTAGCTAGTAAATTATTTTGCTCTTGCGGTTTTGTGACTTTTTAAGGAAACAGAGCAATACTGTAATAGTTACTGGGACATTTTATATCAATACATTCTTGTCTGAATATAGACCTCCAAACTTGGACTTATAGATGAATTTATTTTTGTTGCTTAGCTCCAGAAGTTACTGACGATGGACCCAACCAAGAGAATCACCTCAGATTACGCAATGAAGGACCCCTACTTCACAGAGGAGCCTCACCCATCTCAAGAGTAAGGAAGGAGATAATAAAACATAGTTAAAATAGGAAACAACAAATTAGAAATACATAGTAAATCAAACCTCTGAGCTGTTACCTACATATCGATATTGAATCAGTCTGTTAGTATGGAAAGCATGAGAGCAGATCTGACATTTATTTGTAATTAGATTGATATGTAATATATGTATGACAATAGGTATCTACAAAGAAAACCATTGGGGGACCATTCATATTTATTGTAGTTAATCAGTAGAAAAATGTTAATGCCTTTATTGCAGCATATTTGAGGGAAAACCAATACCTTACCCCAAGAGGGAGTTTCTGACCGATGAGGATGATGATAAAGCAGATACAGGGGCCAGCAAGGTAAGTAGGGGTCCCCCTCTTCCCCTCCACACCCCAATAACAATACAGTATATGTAACATAGATAACTAAAACTGAAAATCTCAGGTGACAGAATACATATTGCCACAGTCTCTTGAAGATGAACTTCATATTGTCTATACTGTTTTAATAGCAGACATAATTCGAATACCGTAAACCAACTTTTATTCACGACGACTTTATTTCGCGATTTACCAGGGGTAAACTACTTCACAATGATTAATTTTTGCGATTAAACTTTTTTATCTGTAGTTAATAGACATGTAGAGACTTTAAGGCCCATTTCACGGCGAGAAATATTTACAATTACAAGGCTCTCGTTTAAATAACTTCGCAAAAATTTCTTGCACGCGAATAAAAGTTGGTGTACAGTACAATGATACCTTTGAAAAATAAAGTACTCTTGTAATATTTTCATTAATCTCATACATTAATATTCCCCTAATCCTATGAAAGCAATTATCGATAAAGATAAACTCTAGCTAGTATTGTTCAATGCTTGAAAACGAATTCTTTCCTTATAAGAACATCTGAAGAAATAGCTACAAGAACTGTATCATTAAAATCATTGAACATCTGAGGAAAATAAGCTATAGACGCCCTCTGTCTCTAAATCTGTTGTAGGCTACAGATCAGTCCTCGAACCACACCCAGCCAGCCAAGCGTGTCCGTGTGATGCCCCCCTCTACGACCACCACCAATTCCTCTATGGTAACTAGTGACTACCAGGTAACCTCTAAAAATTTTGACCACTTGACCATTGCATGCAGGCCTGCCATTAACCAACGCATGACTGTATGTTCTGCTGTTGTTCAGCCTTGTAATTACTGAGCCCAGTTTTAAGTTCTGATTTAAGTATTCTGAGTGTTTTCTTAATTGATATTTTAGTATGTTAAAGTTACATGTTTCTAGTTGGAACTTAAAATTCATTTGAAAAAAAAAATTGGGGGGAAAAAGAATTAGATTAAGAATGGTCAATTTCAATATGTGATCCTAAGCTGTTTATTTCCTCAAGTTTAAAAATTGTATACATGTATATTGGTACATGTTTGGTCAGTGTATATAAAGCTGTATATATATTTTAAACTCCACGAATTGTGTTGATGCATGCTGTTTTAGTGGTCATATTTTTAATGTGTTGCCTTCTTTTCAAATAAACATTGGCTTCGGAGAATCACAGTGTATAAAAAGAGGCTGTGAAATGATGAAGAAATTTACATACATATGTATTAAATCTTATTTTATGGATCCCAGTTGTGATCTAAACACAATAAAATTAATGTATCACATAAATCTTACTCATGAATTCAGTTTAACAGCATAATGTTCATACCAGGTATTAAGGATGGATATTTTTTTTTAATTTCCTATAAAATTTGAAATTTTTCGCAAGAGAAAGGAAATGACTACTCTATGACATTAGCTATATTTGCTTATGTAACTAACTCTGCACGGTGCCATATTTGTCTGCACTGTTTGTGCTGATGTAAGTATAACATGTTTTCTGCTTGACATTAACAGAGGGGGTTTCCAGATTTGTAGTCTGGCAATACTTAATCCCTTGATGTTGTTCTTAGGTTGCCATGATGTTTTAGTGATATGTATTCTCTGATTTCTCTGTAATTCCCCCAGTAAAAACTTGACATTGACACTGATTTCACACAGAGCGAAAGCTCAGTGTTCTCCACAATTTCAGTTCTTATTTTACATAAACATTAGGAATCAGCAAGAGAAATTACATGAAGAACAGAGTGGTTTTGAATTCTTTTTTAACACATTTAAAATTTGAAGTTATATGATCCATAATTTTGCATATTTTCAGCCATACAAGTTTTGAAAGTACCATTAGTTTTTAGCTCACCTGAACCGAAGGCTCAAGTGAGCTTTTCTGATCAAAATTTGTCCGTTGTCTGTCATCGTCGGCGTTGTCGTCGTTGTAAACTTTTCAATTTTCATTTCCTCTCAAGCCAATAACCATTTGTCCTTGGGTTAAGGGGATTTTTGTTCAATACATTTATTTTTCCAAGGGGATAATTATGAGTTTAATGGCATTTTTAAAAAATCTTCTTCTTGTTGGCCAGGAACAAAGTTTCATAAATATTTATTTTTAGACCTTTGTTAAACCATATCTAGGGTGGGGCCAAAGGAGTTTTAAAGGAATAATCTTTTAAAATCTTCTTCTCAAGAACCATTACCTCTCTCTTAGTTTTGCATCAAACCTACTTAATGGCAGTTAAAAGTTTTACATAGGAGTATATAGGAAAAAAACTAAAAATCATCATGTAAATGTATATATCAAATTTGTTCATTTATCATCAAAATTTCTTTTCAAGTACTTCAAAGCCATGATAGTGATAATATGGAGTTTGATGTTTGTTCACATTCAGACAAACTTATTTTGATATTTGCTTTTTCCTAGCCGGTGTGCTCAGGTGAGCGCTGTGGCCCCTGGGCCTCTTGTTCAAAATGAATTGCTTGGTAAATTTTAATTTCAATACATGTATTAGATACAATGCAGTTCTCATTTACATGCGTTTTTGTAAACAAAGTTTCATAAATATTTATTTTTAGACCTTGATAAACCATACTTGACACCAAAGGTTTTAAATTTTGTAATAAACATATGTTCATGTATATATCAGTACATTTATTATCAAAATTATTTCTGTCCGATATACTTTTATTTTGCCAATTTTTTTTTTTAATCATTTAAGATTTTTTTTCTGTTAGATCTGAGGTTTTAAATTTTGTAATAAACAACATCACTATCACTTTAGTATACCTGTATGCCATTTTTTTCTATTGAAATATATGCAAAATTATGGACCATATCTCCTTAATATTCTCTACTTTTGGAAATTCATGTTTATTAAACATAGTTTAAAATTTAAGAAAAAAAATTATGGACATTATATTTCAGAAAAAAATTCACAGTGGGAAATGACAATTGTAATTTTAAACTGAAATCTTGGTTCGCCTCAGTGTCAAGCTAGCTGTGACCTCTGCCTGCTTTGTCGACTTAAAACACTGGACAAACTCAAAGAAATAGGTCTGATAGCTTTTGTCAATATCAGTTACTCAGCTGACAATCAGAATTGACCCATATTTCTCCCATATGCAGCTTGTTTGAGGCTCCTGTAGGGTTATTTAGCAGTAGGAATTATCTGGTACACTACTTCTGTTTGTGAAAATATGGGTCCAAATATACATGTACCTCACAAAATCTCTTCAAGTACAACAACCTAATCATGTATAAAGTCAGAATCATACAGAAATGTAGTGAATTGTGATTTAAGATATTAATAAAAACTGCAAACTGTATTTCAAGAAATTTCATATCAAGAAGATCGCCCAACTCTTACAGAACTGACCGTTTATGTTATTGTTACCTTACAAATTCACAATTCATTTCTAAAGCATATTGACATATACATTTAATATATAAAGGTATTAACCATTGGTACTTATTATGTCATCACCTGTATATTCCCTACAGAACTATGTAGAAAAATAGCCATTAACATAATTAGTAAATTACGACAGAAAATTATTACAACAGTTATCTGTTTCTATTTCAAGATTTTTATTTGAATGTGTACTCGAACTTTGGATAATCAAGTATCTTGCAACCCAGTAGTGTACTATCACTATGGCTTAACAGTTCCATGTGTAACTCATTCTTACTTATTGGAATAGCCGTATATCGAAACTGTAAAGCATTACCATGCCTTGTATGAAGCCTATGATTTAACAAATGTAGTCTTGGACCATTACGAGCCAGTAATGTAGAGCAGATCTTTACATTTATTGGTCGTGCTTAGTTCCACCTAGTTTGCCATGTCTAGCGGTACTGTAACCGAGTGTATATGATCTTTTGTTTATATGACTCTTCTGTATATTTCAAGGGAAACGGCTGGCAAACACGCAAGTCTAGTGTAAGTCGACATTCTTTCTGCTTTCTTCTTCCACGCAGTCTCCTGTTTTTGTTTTCTTTCTCCATCTGCATGTATCCTACCACCCTTAATGTTAACTGTTCACATTGTAAATGCAGAGATGGGCAATATCACATTGTAAATGCAGAGATGGGCAATATGACATTGCAAATGTAGAGATGGGCAATATTCTGCAATAATTTGAATTCCTGTTTTTCAAGTACCCTTAATTAGCTTCAAACCTTGCAGAAATACATGTATATGTATTTAACCAAAAAAAATCATTTGAATTTTTAGCTTGATATTTCTTGTATTTATTTCAATTTTTTTGTATTTGAAATTTCAGAAATTTACAGTTTAGTTCTGGGAAAAGCCAGCAATGCTTGTGTTTCTACGTTTGCCCACCCACCTTCTAATAAAATTAGAATTTGTAATATATTAAAGCTTCAATTTGATTGAAGCCTCAGTCATGCTATGTTTTTTTATAGGTTGTATGCCACACATGTACATAAATAATTGAACATCTACGATTGAGGGCTCTCCTAGTAACTGTAATTTATACACATCTAATTTTGGCATATTTTTTTTTCTTCATATGCACATCTTTGCATTTGTAATCTGGGTATATGTTGACAAAATTTTACCTGCTTAGTATATTTACTATAACATTTATAATGAAGAAAAAAATATTTTGTTCATTATTTCAGATACAGTTATTTTTCATTGATATACTATACATTGATATAAAAAAAATTATTAATTAACTCATTTGTATTAGTGTACCTAACAATTCAATACTTTTACATATACATATTATCATTGTGAAGAAATTAGAACCAAAATAACTTCAAGAAATCAAGAACATATACTTACATATATCACAAAAGCAGGTGTATTTTTAGCTCAGTACATCTGCACTAATGTACCAGTATGTTAGCTCAGTACATCTGCACTAATGTACCAGTATGTTAGCTCAGGACATCTGCACTAATGTACCAGTATGTTAGCTCAGGACATCTGCACTAATGTACCAGTATGTTAGCTCAGTACATCTGCACTAATTTACCAGTATGTACATACTTGTTTTAGATGTTTGTTTTCCGTGTGAGTTCAGTAGAGGCTTACAGATGTGTGTTTAACTGAACAGAAATCACATCATTGCAAATCACACATTATCACGTTTCATATGACATACATTGGTCAGAAATCGCAGAAATCATCTCCATGGAAATTGGTTAATTCTATGTGACCATTTCATGTCCATCTATTCACATTGTCATTATATATGGTCCTGCAAAAGGCTGATATGCACTTGTCATAAGTCTGATGAAAACATAAATTGTAATTCTCAGAACACATCAAGGAAATTTATACTGTTAGAATAACAAACACTAAAAGACATATGAATCAATTTGCACTATAAACTTTAATTAATAGTGATAAGTACCCATACTAGACATCTGAGATGAATTTTAAATGATGTTTTGGATAGTTTGACTCAGATAAAAGGAAAATACTTTTTTCATGATGATAGTATATTAAATTTTTATAGCAAATAAATCAGTACAGAAGGATTTCGAGAACTTCAAAAGACAAATATAGATGATGTTGTAATGAAGATCTTGTTGTTTTGTAGCACATGCACAACGTCCAGGGCAGCACCCAGCCTGGAATGACCTTCACCTCTGGAGGTGTACAGACCTCAACAAGTTCTACAACGAATTACGGCCCCACTTCCCGATTCTGAAAGTCCTTAAAACGTAACAAGTATACAGGCCCTTTTTCTCAGCCGGTTGAGAATTCGGAAAACTTATTAAGAATGAAGATTTTCTTTACCCAAGAAAAAAGTATGGGAATTAGATCAATTGTCTAAATTTCATTTTCTTTATTCCAGTATGTGTATCAGTGCATTATGTCAGAGTCAAGGATGTAAGACCTTTTTGTAAAATATTTAATTTTTGAGGATTTAATGTTTTAGTTATTCCATTGTATGCAAATTGCAGATAATTGACATCGTGAAGCATTTTAATATTGACTCTTAGTACTGTATTAATAAAGAATTATATGTATTATGTTATAATTAATGATTTATGATAATAAGATGTAACAATCAATTATTCCGGGTGTTTAACAATGAATTTTCATTATTGTGACATTTTAAGAAATATAAGGGCAAATATGTCATGGTAATTAAAAAATGCACAATAAAGTATTTTTAATTAAAGTTTTGTCTTTTATTTCACAGGTAGAAATCAATAGAAGGCATCTTTATGTGCAGATGTATATATATATAGTTTCTTATACATGTAGTTTCTTGGGAATATACCTACCCCCATAACTTTAATTTGGTCCATTATCTGGAATGTATATTGGATCCAGCATCTGGAGCAAGTCAATTAGTGTGCATCCTTAGATGTACATGTATCAACAAAGCAAGTTTGCTCAACATAGGGCTTATGGCTACTTTAGAATGAACCTGCTCCAAAAAATTAACCTTTTCACTCATCCCGAAAATGTAGGTCAGATTCAGCCTCCAAAGCAAGCCTTGTAGTACAGGTGATGATCCATTATACCTTAAAAGTACAATTTTATAACAAAACAATTGCATCTTTCTGAGAAATACTCCAAGTCCATGAAGTCAAAGGTCATATCACAAACAAGATTTAAATGCCCCAATTCCTCATGAGCCATGTAGCATAGTGGTTATTGCGTTAGTCTCAAAGCAATATCTGATACTCCGAATTTTTATTGCTTGAGTTCGAATCCCACGAATACTATCATATTTTATCAAAAGAATAATTTTTTCCAAGATTTTTTTCTCTCGGAAAAGGTTTGTTTCTCATAATTTCATAAACTTCAATAATGCAAACTTAATTTAAATACTTAATTCACAAAATGAATATGATTTCTTAATATCTGAAGCTATAGGCATTCTGCACGCCTTGTTCACCCATCTTTTCCCGATTCTTAGCTACCAAAAATTAAAGTTATGAAAATTCCTATTACTTTCAAATATGATGTAAGTAATACTTTTGGTTAAATTGATAATTTTAATAAACCAACAAAAACTAGAAATACATATGTCCATAGGACATGAATGCCCCGCCGAGGGTATATTAGTAAAGCAACATGAAAATTTGTATTAGTATATGAAATTTGGAAAAATATCTTTAAAAGTATTGTTTTATATTCATAAGTGCTATACATTAGTATGTATCAACATATGAAGTTTGACACTAATTTCTTTAAAGTGAGGTCAAGGTCAAAGAAAATGCCAAGGTCAAAAACTATTGATTCAGTTAAAAAGCTCTCATCAGTAAGTATCAGCATATGAAGTTGAAAAAAATATTATAAATGGTTTCTTTAAAATTGACTTAAACACAAATGGATAAAAATGAATTCCTCATGAGCTGTGTAGCATAAAAGTGTTAAGGTAAAGCAATATCTGATACATGTACTTGGAATTTTTTTTGCTCAATATCTATCGGCTTATGATATTTTAACCAAAGATTAATTTTTTGCAAGAAAAAGTTTGGTTAATGTCAAAGCAAAGGTCAAGGTCAAAAATGTTGAAAAAAGACAGTTGCATATCTATTTTTTCTCAAAATTTTATATGTATCTTTTACACATATGAAATTTGATTGTTTTAATAAAAACCTGAGTCACTCAGGTGAATGATGTTTTTAACATTTAAACAGACTTAAACACAATTTGATAAAAGTAAGGTAAAGGTCAAATAAAACGTCAAGGTCAAAAATGTTGATGCCGTTGAATTGCTTACATCAGTATGTATCAGCATATGAAGTTTGACACTGATTTAAGAAAAGTGAGGTCAAGGTCAAATGAAAGGTCAATGTCAAAAATGTTGATGCAGATGCATATCTCTCATCAATATGTATCAATATATGAAGTTTGATAAAAAATATCTAGAATGATGTCTTTAATTAAAATTGACTTAAGGACCCTCTCTACACAAGTGCAAAAATTTTTTTTGAAATTGAGAAAAATATATTGTATAAAGGAGTTAATATTGAGTTTATTTAATTTTCACTGTATGGTGCCAGGGTCAGGGGTTCTGGTGCTAGGGCGGGAAAAATGTTATATAGACAACACAGTATCAGTGAATACAATTCATTGTTAATTACTTCAATAGAGAAAATACATGTAAATAAAACGTTTAGTTAATTGATCGTGGCCGTTAAAAATGTTAAGAATACTTGTATTCATTACAAATTGAGTAATACACATGTATATTGTAAATTTCAATTTTTAGAATTTTGAATTTGATGGGCAGATTCTGGTGTTAGGGCTGGGCTAACTATATAGCAAAAAAACCTTAGAATCTTTGAACTCTTTAGTGTGCAGTGTAGAGAGGGTTCTTAAACACAATTTGATAAAAGTGAGGTCAAGGTCAAATAAAAGGTCAAGGTCAAAATTGTTGATGCAGTGTGAATTGCTTACATCAGCATATGTGGAGTTTGACAATGATAGGAAAAGTGAATTCTTTGAAAATCTTTTTGTTTGCAAAGGAAAGGTCATGGTAAAAAATATTGATGCAGTTGAATTGCTCTCATCAATACTAGTATGTAACAGCATATGAAGTTTGAAAAAAATTAATGCTTTGAAATCTGGTATCTTCAACCATTTATGATGAAATAAAATTTATGATAAAGATAATTGAGATCAAGGTCAAAGGAAAGGTCAAGGTCAAAAACATTTTTTCAGTTGTTAGCTCTCATCAGTATTAAGTATCAAAATGTGAAGTTTGATAACACTCTCTTGTGAATTTCATGGTATGTTTAAAACTGAGCCAAATTCAATTGTGTGAAAGTTGAGGTTAAGGTGACCTAAAGGAACGGTCAAGTTAATAAAAATGTTTTTAAGCAGTTGAAAAGCTCTCATGTATATCTATCTCTGTAACAGGTTTGGAGAAAATGCAAGCGCTTTACCACTACGCTACGAAGTATATGCATTATCGAAGTCTTTCAGTGTGATTTAAATGAACAGGTTTGTTCTACCAAAAAGTGAGCTATAGAATGGCCACCATTTTTTGACAAATGAAATGGATTTCACATTTACATTCTCCCTCATTTAAGCGTTAACTTTGGTCCTCAAAAGACCCAACCCAGGTTCATCCGTTTTTTGTAGGTCTTTCACCTTTTCCAAAATATGCTTAACATGGCACAGCACCAAATGATAACGGGAGAAAATAAAATAATAAAATGTTTTGAAGATGACATTACTGAGAACATGATTTTAGAAAAATAAAACTTGTGAATTTTGAAAATCTGAGCTATCTGGCCACCGGCGATCGAACCTGGCTGACCGCCACACTATCATCATATGAAGTTTGATTAAAATATCTTGGATAGTTTCTTTGAAACTTAGCTTTGAACAGAGCTAAACGCAAAGTGTGACGGAAGGACCAAAAGGACGGAAGACGGAAATTCATTACAAACATATATGTTAATAATATTTTAATTAAAATTAATAATTTTAAAAAAAAATAAAGAGAAGCCCTTGGCCAATCATTGTCAAATTTATTACAGGATATAAGGTTATGACCCTTAAACTAGTAATTAAGATAATCAGGTAAATAAAACCAAAAGTACTGGTTGCTAAAAAATCTTTTTCTGAAGAACCACCAGGAAGATTATCGCTAAACTGAAATACAAGGGTTAGGATATGTTGAAGATTAATATTTGTTGAAGGCAACACCCTAGGGCAAAGTGTGTGGTCTCAAGGTCACTTCAAAGTTGACCAAAAATTACACTTTATAAAAGATTGATATTTTGCTTACTATAAAAACTAGGATCATCGAATCTTGTAAGTTGATGCATCTTCAGATGTGATATCATATTAACTAAATATTAGGTCATGGTGACCTACTTTTTGAATATTGCAGGCATTTGATTTCATATTGATTAAGAGGCATATTTTGAACACTTTAAGACCTTTGGTCATCAAACTTTATCAGCTGATGCATCTTGGGTCCTCAAACAATGTCAACTTAGTAGGTCACCTTGACCTACTTTCTGAATTTTATGGCTAATATTTTCTGAAACATTTAATCAAATTATTTCAGATACTGAGAGGTTTAGATTTATCAAATCTTGTAAGTTGATGCATCTTAAAACATATTTTTGAAAAAGTAAGTCACAGTGACCTACTTTTAAAATTTTGCAGGCTTTTGTTTTCAAATTGTTTAAAGGGCACATTTTGGATACTTTCAAAACTTATGATCATCAAACTTCGTCAGTTGGTGCATGTCAACCAAAAAGTAGGTCACCGTGACTTACTTTTGAAATTTTATGGCTATACTGTAAACCAACTTTTATTCGCAATGACTTTATTTCGCGATTTACCAGAGGTAAACTAGTTGGCGATGATTAATTTTCACGATCAAGCCTTTTTGGATCTGTTGTAAATAGACGGAGAGACTTTAAGTACCGCTTCGTGGCGAGAAATATTCGCGATGACAAGGATGTCACAAACTTCACGAAAATTTCTCGCATGCAAATAAAAGTTGGTTTACAGTATTTGAATATTATATAAGAAGATTATTTTCATAGTTTTCATTGGCTGAAAGTACGTCACGTGATATTCCTCCTTTTGTGATATCGATGCGAAAGCGGGTTCGCGGAAAGTAATATCGTACGACACGCTGTTCGGTTGCACTAAAGTTATGTAGTACTTGACGTCATTATACAATTATGGACTTCAGTGTAGGTCGATATGTGGTTATAAGGACTCATGGCAATTGATATTGACCGAAGACACAGAAAGTGATAGCGACAGCCTGCGATGTCGCTATCATTTTCTGTGTCTGAGGTCAATATCATTTGCCATGAGTCCTTATAACCACATATTGACAGTTTACTGAAGTCCATAATAGTTATATTACTGATAATCCCTCAAACTGAATGCACTGACACAGTCCTAACTGAACGGACTTGGCTGTCATTACGTCACAATGGTTAAATTCACGCTTCATATATTATATCTAGGGTAATTATTAGCTTAGATTTATCAAACTTTGTCCATTGATTCATCCTGGGTCCTTGTAGGTCATGGTGACCTACTTTTGAAATTTATGGCTATATATAATAAATTTATGTTTTTTAGGTCCTTATTGGCTTGTAATGTACAACCTTTGTCAATTGATGTATCTTAGGTCCTTGGAGAATTTCAAACAAAAAAGTACGTCATTGTGACCTATTTTAAAAAATTTTATGGCTATATTTAAATATTTTCAGGTCCTGGAATCATCAATCTTTATCAATTAATGCATCTTGGGTCCTCGGAAAAGAACAACCAAACATAGGTCACTGTGAACTACTTATAGGTCGGTCACCATGACCTACTTATGGGTAGGTCACCATTATGGGTAGGTCACCATGAGCTACTTATGGGTAGGTCACAGACCTATATGGAATTCTCATGGGTTTTTTCATGGCTTTATTTAAATCTCCAGTCCTAATTGGCTAAGAATCATCAAACTTGTCATTGGAAGCATCTTGGATCTTTGGAGAATGTCAAATGAAACCTACATGAAGCTCAGTGACCTACTTTTGACATTTTTTTGGAAATTTTAACATATATCAGTTACTTATAAGCTAAGTATCAGATACTTAGAGGCTTCAGATAGAAGTGCAAGATTGTACAATTTCTCTGAAGAGCATTCAAGGCCCTTGGGCCTCTTGTTTTCTTTCCCGTTACAGATTTAGTGGCAGACCACCCTTGGAATTGCAGGTGAAAGTCCTACCAGGGTCTATTAACAACTTGGTTTGCATCTTTTAGGGTCAATTTAAGGAGGGAGGAATGTAATGGTTTGGGCTGTGGATATCATCATGAGTGGCTCTGTGGGTAAAGCATGACTACTGATGCAACAGTCCTGGGTTCCATTTCTGATCAAGCCATACATTTTCTCCTTTCCTGTTACAACTCAAGTGAGCTTTCATGATCATAACATGTCATCTTGAGGGCCAATGAGCCAATTGCAATCAGACAGTACTTTTGGATAAAGGAGATTCATTTTTTTATGAACTTAAGGGCCAAGTTTTAAAGAGGAGAATAATTTAGAAATAAAGAAAACATGGTTATTTCTAAGATTTTTATTGTTTTGCATTATGCATCTACTACAATACCTCTCTCAACATCTGCTCTCAGTACATCAGCATACACAATAATTGCAATATACAATGTACTTCAAAGTAAATATACTAAAAAAATCTGTACAAAATCAATATGAGTCACCACTTGTTCATCATGAGGAATATATCATTATACATGTACAACAAATATTGCTGAATATAAAATCAATTGTATTCCATTTATAGTTCTCTCAAAACACAAATACACAGCCTTGGTGTACATAATGTCAAAAATGTATATCTTATGTTGGAAATTTTCATGATTGTAAAATTTGGTGAAAAAAACTACATCTGGAAATTTGACAAAAATGAAAGTGAAGGGTAAAATGAGAAACCTAAAAATTTCTGACAAATTTGAAAACTACATGTATGGTGTATTAAAGAGTGTGCACTTAAAATTTAACTGACAACCTAGTGACATATACGCACAACTGCAGATTTCTATCATTACATTACTGAAAACAAAAATTTACAATTTTCATGTAATGCAGCTTCCTCAAAAACTGTTCATTGTTCTTTTTGATTCATCCTTCACAACATTCAATCACTTCTGACAGACTCTTGCACTGAAAATAAGCACCATAGTACAGTCATCCACCGTAAAAATGTAGTTTCTCACAACACGGACCCTTGCTCAGGTAGAAGAAAACACTGGTTGTGTGTGAAATTTGGCTTCCTGTATTTCTCGGACCAATCGGATTCTGTGTAACATTTTGTTCATGGCTTCTACTGATAAGTTCTGTGTAGAATACCACACTGGACTGTCTGGGACACAGGAACGCTCGGGGACTAGGTAAAACGCGTCACTGCGATTCTTTATACTCTCTGGGCTGTAACAGAGTAATAGAGAAAATCATTTTATTGAATTGTAAGTTTCTTGGCTTCAAAATGATAAATTTATACCTTGAAAATTGTATTAAAAGACCATGTTCACAATCTATATTTTATAGAGTCACAGTAAAGTTCAGCTTTGGTACTTCTTTGGAAAACATTTAATTAAGCTAGTAAGCAGAAATGGTGCTACTAAACTAAAGTTCAATCTCACTGCTTTAGTTCCTTTATCTGGTATATATATCACAATTCAAACAAAGCTTTCTTCCATAAACAACTCTTTTCTCAAATCATAGTTAAAAATGAATTTTTGGATAAAAAATTTTAAGTGTGTGCTAAAACAAATCCATTTCTTGTGATGTTTTAAGAAACAACCTTCTCCCAAAATGTTAATTAAGCATGCAAAAAATGTCACTGCGCTCACATTGAAATTTCAGAGCATATGTTATTGTCATGCTAGATTCTAAAATACTCTCTTCTATAGAAGAATACATATGTCCATACAAGGCTTAGTAATGTTCATGTACAATTCTCATACATTACCCATTTTTGCAAGGAGTTAATGACCCCAAGCTAATAAGGAAGATGTTTCTTACATTAATAATCTTAGATAATACATGTCTCAAATTTTGTCTAGTATGGTATATTTAATTTGTCATAATTTCATCTCCTTTTTTTATCCGAGTTTTTCCCTGTATAAACATAGGAAGATGACATTCATACATTGATCAGAACTCTATATTCTAAAAGGAGGAGTGGGGTAGAGAGCAATGAGATTGAACTTACTATTTTTTATAATCACTAGGCCTGCAATATAGAAAGCATACAATCATACAATGAAAAAAACACATACAGTCATGAAAAAAAAAAGCACATTAATAAGCAAGTCCACACACAAAGGTACTGTACTATATGAAGGCAGTGACTACAGAACTGACAAATACCAGGTTACAAAAGTGAAGCAGTTTAAGAACTTCTTTGTGCTTTCTGATGAGAACTTTTCTTTGTACTTTTGTGCTTTCTTCTGAGAACTTACCACTTGGAGAGATAGAACTCGTACAATTTGACTGGACACCTAAGAGGATTGTCTACATTCTCAGCTTGCTCATAAATAGGCAGCTCCTCCTTTTTCTTGGCCTTTTGAGAATCATCTACAATTATATGTTTAAAGGTACATGTTGTTTTTTTTTCACAGAACTTGATTTCACATGTAGCAAATAGCACAGGTAAATTTACAGGTAGAAGTTCTTTTTTTTCTTCGAAAGTATTTAATAATTCTTGTTTTGCATCTGAGCAAATGAATTAGAAGGAAGGACAAACAGTAAGTAATAAAGTATCAGAGAATTTGAAATACTGTAGAAGACAGTGATTCAGTGGGGTATTAATTTAGGCTATGTACTGGGGTAAGCGGCCATAAATTTTCCAGGGAAATTTGGCCCAGGGTTCCTAAAGTGTATTTAAAACATTTAGTGGCAATCAAAAAGGATCCTTGTAATTTTCTACCCACAAATTGCATAAAAATTGTGATTCTGTGAAATTTACCTGTGTAAAAAATTATGTTTACTATAACTGTAAAAAATTATGTTTACTTTAATTGATGGCCATATCTCTTCCAAGGGCGCCTAATATGATTTGGATTGCTAAATCAATTAAATAAAAACAACGAATCACCTCCCTCATCCTTTTTTAAGGTTTTCTACAATGTGAAAAAAACTGTCTCATCATGTTGTGAGGCAATAAAAAGTTTAAAAAAATTTTTGAGTGGTGTTGGGCAGTCCCTCATCATATTTCTTGAAAAAAGGCCTGAGAACCAAGGAATTAATTTTTCATAGCCTTACTGTAATTGATGGCCATATGGTATGGGACCAACAATATGATTTGGACTTGTGCTTTGTACAGAACATGTGCTATCTGAGACATGTACATGTACATACAGATATGCCTGACTTACTTTGATTTTTGAGTGGTGTTGGGCAGTAGTATCGCAGGATTTACTTTGATTTTTGAGTGGTGTTGGGCAGTAGTATCGCAGGACTTACTTTGATTTTTGAGTGGTGTTGGGCAGTAGTATTGGAGGACTTACTTTGATTTTTGAGTGGTGTTGGGCAGTAGTATCGGAGGAACACACTTCGCCCAGAAGAGTTTCCTTTTCCTGGTGGTGACTTTTTCCAGTGCTTCATGATATGAGTGAACGAGAGCTTCAGGTGGTCCTCGGCGGACTGTAACATGAAGTATTTGGTGTTGAAGTAAACCAGTGTGTTCAGAAGTACGTGGGGGGAGTGGGCCCCCAGCTGTTTAGACTCCCAGAGGTGCTCCTCCTCTATACGACACACCAGCTGACCTAGAAATAAACGAGGGTTTCATCACAGTTCCAAACTAACACCACAATTAATACTACCTAATAAATCACTTAAATTTACATTATTATGGCTATTATTTAAAATAATACCACAAACATTTGCAAACACATGCAATGTCAATAAATGTGTAAAGTTGCCAAAAAAATTTGAATTCTAATTCTGAATCATAAATATTTAATTATCATGATTACAGAAATTTTGCAAATACTGTATACACATTAATAATGATTGGGTCTCTGACCTACAGATTTACCAATCAAATCATATGTCAGTCACAATTTAGCACTGTAATTACATGTGCATGTAATTTTTAACTTTGATTTTGAAAAAATTTATAATCTTACCAGCAGCATTGACCTTTGGTTCATAAGAAATAAGTAATTCATTTAAACACTCTGTAAACTTCTCGTAATACATATCAGTGAAGATATTGTCTATCCTGCCATTCTCAAAGAGATACTGCTGAATACCTGTCAGGAAGAACATTACAGGTATCTCAAGTTAAATATATTGATCAGTGTATTCTTATATTTTCATTACCAGATTATTCATTATACTAAAATAGATAAAGGATTTACCAACACTGACCTAGATACAGGTAATATGTGCTGTCATTTACATCATTAAACATAGAATTTGTTTATGTTTTCAAGATACAGCTAGAATACATTAACATTTACATAGAGTTTTGTGATGATTAACTAGAGGCAGAATTAACCAGTATTAGCACAATTTACTGATCAATATTTACCAAGGCTCACAAAGAGATTACATAGTTACCTAAACACAGATAGAATATACTGTCAGGTGCATACTCCTCCCCGTTCGGTTTCCTAACTTCTTTCACGAACAAACACAGAGAATAATTCAGTTCATCAGCAGTACAACCCATCATGTCCGTTTTAAACATTTTGAGTTTTCCTGAGCCTTGTTTAGACACCTTCTCCAGCTGGGCGTTTTTCTGTACAACCCAGTGCTTCCAAGCATTGACTCCGTAGGTGTACTTTAGGTACATGTTAGCGTCCGGGGCTGGTTCGTGGACCTCGGGTTCTGGGGCCTCACTGATACTCTCCTCCATAGGCGTCTCCACCTGGTGGTTCACTTTCTGACGTTTATTTCTGCGTTTGTTGCCACCACCTCCCCGTGAAGACCGTTTCGTGGAGGCCCGTCCTGACCTCGTTTCTCGGGGGACATAAACCTCATCGTCCTCCTCCACTTGGGGCGGTTCTTCAGGGACTGATTTAGGAGGCGCTGGTGGGGGCTCTGTAAATTACATTTTTATAAAAATTTCAAAATCAAGAAAATCCCCCCTTTATGAATTTCTTCACTGTATTCTCAGTTTTTTTTTCTTTTTTAAAATAACTCTGTAGGCTTCAATTTATTGTCACTTAAAGAATTTTTCAATCATAGTTAACTTGATGTACCTGTGTTGACCGGGACTGGCTCTATAGAATTCTCTAAATCCATGACAGGTTCAGTCAATTCTGAGGCCATTCTTAGGGCCATTTGTAGCATGTCTTCTCCCAGTTCTCCATTGCTCTCCGTCAGTGCAGCTTCAGCATTCGTCTCAGGACCATTGGTCTTTGGAGTTGGTATTGGTGATTTACAACTTGTCTTTCCTGAAATGATTTAAGGAAACATTAACATAGTGCTACAGGTATTTCAAAATAAAAAAATCTGCTTGCACACAATTCAAATCAATTCATTATGAATCTTTTTCGTTTCTCAGAACACTGTATGGATGGGAATCTTCTTAAGGATTAATTCTGTTCGTGAAAGATTATCAATCTTTCAGCAATGCCTTACATCAGAATAGATTACCTTCAGGTTCCACCTCAGCCTCCTTTTCAGATTCTGAATCCGAGTCTTTTTCTACCCCTGCGACAGCTTCAGCCATCATTAGCAGCTCTGCCTCAAGGGGGTCACTGGGAATTTTCTCACGAATTTCCTAAATTGGACAAAAAAAATTTGAATTTTAACGTCAACGCAAATCAACACAAAATGGTTCAAATACTTGAATTTCAAAGTAGACTTTTCTTTCAAGTTGACTTCTTTGGTCATAACATTAAATTCATTTGGTGGACTTTTTATTGGCCATTATGATCAATTCTCTTAGTTACCTTGATCTGCTTGAGGATTCCGTCGGCAGATTTTTTAGTGGTTGGGATGAAACATGGCACGGGTATGGGTACAGGAAGTGGGAATGGAACAGGTGTAGGCTGCGTGTACATCGCCATGGGAACCGGTACATAAAATGGTATAGGGACGGGAAGGATCACCTTATCTGGTTCTGACTTTTCTGAAATTAAAAGAATTTACTATGTTTTGTGATACATGTACTTACTGATGGACTTCTAAGAAATCAAATAACATTTTTGCTGAAGCAACAATTAATTAAGCACAAATTCTAAAATTATTTCAATTCCATTATCACATTTTCTATTTTATATTTACCTTTCAATGAAAAACATTACTTTTCTGAATACAGTAAAACAGGGGCCTTTTACTGTGAAACAATGATTGATTAGGCCAAAATGTTTCTTTTTTGTTTCATCAGTTTCATCAATTCTGTGGTGTTTGACACAATGTGACAGGGCCTGAGAAACTAGACACTATTTTGATTAGCTATACATGCCCTTTTTCTGAGATCAGTACCTGTTTGGACCCCTACGGTGTGGGTGTGGGGCCTACAGGACGTAGCCTTGGTCTGTAGAAATGGTTTACACACTACAGATTTGTTCTTCTGAGTTTTAGGCCATGGTGGCTGGATAACTATCTGCTGTTGTACCTGAATCTGAGTTGTCTGAAAAATTAAAAAATTCTATATATTTACCAAGTCCTAAAATATTGGCTGCTTTAATAACTCACAAAATGTCTACCAAGTTAGCAACTCACAAAATAGCTACCAGTAACTAAACACTTCAAGTTACAAAATATAACAACCCGGCCACATTCAATAAAAATTCAAATAGAAATAATTTCTTATCTATGTCCATTGATACATTAATTTTGCTACCTTTGTCTGTGGCTGGCTTGTTGCTGGAACACTGGTGACAGATTTCAATCCACTCTGCTGATTTCCTACAAAATATTTAATCTTTTTTTACACTGTCTTTCCATTATTTTCTTTTTTCCAAAAGAAAACTTGTAACTTTTCCTACATTAGCTTTTTACATTGTTTTCTAAACCACTTTTAAGAAGGGTAAACATGGTTAAATCTGGACACATCTATAACAGAATATACCAATAGTAGTTTACAATGTTTATAATTAAGACACCTTATTTGCCTGGTTTACCTTTAGGAGCTAGTGACACAACGTTGGATATGACAGGGTTGGCTCCGGGTCCCATCCTCTGGGATAACTGCTTTGATGCTGGGGGTTGTTTGGAGGGTGGGGCTGAAATTACAAGTTACCCATAAAAATAAATTCATAACAATCAAGCAAATGCATTAGGCCATGCAAAATTAATTCCTTGGTTCTCAGGCCTTTTTTCAAGAAATATGATGAGGGAGGGAGGCATTTTTTTTTTTTACTTTTTATTGCCCCCAAAACGATGAGGCAGCTTTTTACATTGTACAAAATCTCAAAAAATAATGAGAGAGGTGATTTGGTGTTTTCATTTTATTGGTTTAGCAATAAAAAGGGTCAATGAGGCACCCTTGGAAGAGAACAGGGAGGGTCTAAGAACCAAGAAATTAATTTTTTTTAGCCTTATCTCAAACCTCCATTTTTATTTATATGCTAACTATTTTGTAAGGCCCACAGAATCAGTATTTTACCTCTGGTAGCGTTTCTTGTCACAGGTGCTGATTGTTGTGGTGTTTTCTGTTGCTGCAGCAGGGATGACTTTTGTTGCTGTGGAGGCTTATGTTGCTGTGGAGGCTTATGTTGCTGTGCTGCAGCTTTTTGTTGCTGATGGTGCTGGTTTGCAGTTGGTGCTGTTTGTTTTCCTCCTGATGCAGCAAACTGTGACTGAAAGGCCATCACACATTGGTACGAACAAAAGTTCCTCACCGATGCATCACTCATAGTCAAATGATACTGGGCGGGGACGAACTTTCGACAGTGGTCACACACCACCGCCTGGTTAGAGGTCGCCTGAAGGTTAACGCGATATAGGGATAAACAGTTCAAAGAACAAAACAGCTGATACTTGTTATGGGCATCTACCCTTTCAATCATGTCAAAGTTACTTTTCTTGGAGTTACACCAAGCACAAGCCACTATTTTCTTCTTTTCCGATTTGAATTTGTTGACACACACATAACTACAGAATCGTTTTTGCTGCCCTTCAAACTGGATAAACTGTGGAGCACCATCACCATAGCAGTAAGTGCCACAGTTATCACACGAGTTCATGGTCAATTTATTGGCGTACTGGAAAGCAGAAAAGCATGGATCGCTACACAGGCGGTGAACTTTACCTTCTAGTCGGATTTCATGCTTCACAGTTGAATGTTTTTTACACACTGAACATGGGAATTCTCCCTTTGGTAAAACTTTGGACTTCTGAGCTTTCTCTACCCCTACTATCTCGACATCACAGTTAGTTTTATCTTCGTACTTCTGTAAACATGACTGACTACAAAAATCCTTGAATGTCCCCTCTTTTCCAACAGGTGCTACGAAAGCATCGGTGGATTTGGAAATGTCCTTCTGACAACACTCACAGAGTTTCTGTCGTTTCTTGAATTCCACATAACAGTTGTTGGAACAGAATTGTTTCACTTCATTGGCGAACCTAAGACAGTATTTTCCTTTAGCAGTGGCAGTCACCATGTTTCCACAGTTTGTACACGAGGCATTAAGGGAGCCCTGGAATTTTCCCAGACAATCTTCCCCACAGAAGTCCATTCCCTGCCAGTTGAGGAATGGTTTGGAGGTTTTTATGTTCATGAGTTGACACACTGAGCAGGTTTTGAACTGTTCCTGGTTGGAGTGAGAGTTGGTTGGGTGGGCGTTGTTCAGTTCGGTGTGGTTTTCTGCTGGTGCTTTGGGGGTTCCTCTGAGGTAACTGGTGGGATTGGCCCGGAATTTTTGGAAACATACATCATCACACAAGTGTTTTACATCCCCGTTACGTACTATATTGTATTTACATTTCCCAACCTAAATGTAGATAAAAAGTTTACAATAAACTGTCAATAAAAATTCAAATTAATCAAAAAATGAACCAAGGTCTATCGAGTTAAAAATTATTTGCAGGCTAGTATTTTCATATTTATTGTTATCTACTGAGAAATAAATTTAATTCATCAGTGTTCATTTGTGGACTCCCAAAATTTCACTGATTCAGGGGGACAAATTTCAACCTACATATGGAAAATTCAGATACACAGATTCAATGTACGGATATGTTGAAAAGGTTTTTGTTCAAGAAAACGTAAAATGGTGAGTAAGTATGAACAAATAAATTTTCTACCATGGTTCCCCCCTAAAAAAAATTTATATTCACCTGTACAGGTCTGCACCTTACTAGTTAGCCCCCCCCCCTTTATACTTATATCCTCCAGTATGCTTACCCTGCTGCAGACAATACAGGTCTGGACCTTACTGGCAGGCTTGCCCCCCCCTTTATAGTTATATCCCCCAGTATGCTTACCCTGCTGCAGACAATACAGGTCTGAACCTTACTGGCGGACTTGCCCCCCCCCCTTTATACTTACATCCCCCAGTATGCTTACCCTGCTGCAGACAATACAGGTCTGAACCTTACTGGCGGGCTTGCCCCCCCTTTTATACTTATATCCCCCAGTATGCTTACCCTGCTGCACACAATACAGGTCTGGACCTTACTGGCAGGCTTGCCCCCCCCTTTATACTTATATCCCCCAGTATGCTTACCCTGCTGCAGACAATACAGGTCTGGACCTTACTGGTGGGCTTGGCTGGAGACGACTTTTTGGCCTCCTGCTTCACCTCTGGTTTTGGGGGAGCTGGCTGTCTGGGGGCCTCAGTCTGTAATTAATCATTTAAAATACTGTGAAATCACAAAATTTGTGATACTGTGGGGGTTTTAATTTTCGTTGTTTTCCAGGTATGAAGATACCTACAAATTCATATCCATCACGAAATTTAAAACAATATATACATAATTACACAACAATTCTTCATCCACGAAATCAAATCCCTACAATCCAAGAAATTTTCCTCAAACCACGAAAATTTGACCCCACGAAAATATGTGATTTTATAGTATGTGCTCAAAAACTCATTTCTTCAGTAAGAAGTAAATCAAATCACATTTTATCCCAAAGTTTACAAGATATAAACAGAAAATGAACATTAGTTTTAAGTAAATATACCACAAAAGAAGTTTTATGACAGGATACACAGTAATTCATACACTATATTTAACTTTAAAATAAATAATTATTAAACATTATTCCTTTTTACATAAAACAGTTTTAAAACAATGCCCTAACACTCACTTTTTGCTGATCTTTTTTCTCCTTGTTAACGATGTCTGGAATGTCTGTGCCCCCGCTGACTGAGGAAATCTGTAGACCCATGCCTCCACTAGGAGCTGCTGCAGCTGTCTGCTTTTTTGCTACATTGTTATTAAAGTCATATGAAGTCACACTGATTCATACATGTCAAAATTATAATTCAGTATTCTTAATCAAAACAAGATTAATAAATTGTTTGTAGATTTTATATGTGATATGTCATTAAAATCACAAATTTTACAGCCAGAAAGCTCTATTACAATGCCAAGAACCCACATATAAAAATTTTTTTTTTTTTGAAAAAAATTCAATCTTACTGGCTGGACTGACTCCCACAATTGCAATGTCATCAGATTCATCTGAACTCTCTTTCTTCTTCTCTTCTTTGTTTGCTTCTTTTTCTAAAAAAAAGTTTAAAACATAAACCAAAAAAAAACGGCAATAAGATGCTTGCATAACACATGCTTTAGATTTATTTTGAACCTTTAGATTTATGAGAATCCACGCAATATCAATTTCCACTTTACTAGAAATCAAACACTTACCATTTGTGTCCTCTTTGTCATCGATCATGACAACATCTGCATCAGATTTATCTCCCTTGTTTTCCATGCTGCTATCAGTTGACTCTGTAATTGTGTCTTTCACTTCACTTATTTCTTCAGATTTTGCCTCAGTGCCTTCCAAGGCCTCAGATTTTGCCTCAGTGCCTTCTGTTGTCTCAGTGCCTTCCAAGGCCATAGATGTCTTCTCAGTCTCTTCTGTTGCCTCAGTGCCTTTTGTAGCCTCTGATGTTTCTATCTCTGGCTCTTCTTTTCCCTCTGATTTCACAGATTCAGTGGTTTGACTGGTTTCTGGTAAGTCAACCTCTGGCTTGGTTTCTGTTGTTTCTCCTTCAGTCTGGTTGGGTTTTTCCTCTTCAACAGAATCTGGTGAATTTTCTTGCCTTTCATTTTTAATCACAACAGGGGTGGTGTCATCAGCTGATTTCTCCTTAGCACCAGCTGATTCTGTGGTATCCGTACTAGTTAAAGCCTCGGGTGGTTCCACAGGAACACTTTCCATCGTCTCCACACCTGACAACACCTGGGCTGGTTCCTCGGGTTCAGAGCTGCTCACACCCTCCCCCTGAGAATTCTCCTCTGGTTTCTCTGTCATCTCCTGTAGGACTTCACCTTCTCCTGTCTTCTCCTCCTGTTCTGGTGTGACCTCCTCTTTCAGTAAACTTTCTTCATCCATCTCCTCCATCTTCTGATCAACCTCTCCCTCCTCTTCTTTTAGGAGACTTTCTTCGTTCTCTGTGACCTCCATGTTCTCATCATTGGTCTCAGCTACAGTGTTTGGCTCAGCAGCACATTGAGTGTTGGAGTTAGACAGGATTGCGTCATCTGTGTGTTCCGTCTCCATGGCCTCTATTGCGCTTTCATCTGTGATGTCACCATGCAACGTGCCAACAGACGCTATTGTTAATTCTCCTAAGCCTCCATCCTGTGAGCCAATATCACTGACTTGTTCAGTAACACCTGAATCGTGGACTTCTGGCTCCATTACTGTATCTTGTATTTCCATTCCAGAGACCTCACTTTCTGTGCTGTCTTGAACAGTTGGGGCGAGAGGAGCAGAGGTCTCTGTTTCTTGTGAAATACCAGTGGACAATTGCTCTGCACTTTCATTTTCTGTGTTAGTTTGTTCGTACACCTCTGAAAAATTTTCTTGAACTTTTTCTGAAGTGTCAGACAAGGCAGCTACTTCCTGTACCTCATTTTGAGATTCTAAGTTCACTTCCTGCTCTTTCTCTTGAGTATCCTCTGACGCTTGATCTTTTGTTGTTCCCAAGAGTTCAGCAGATGAAGCCTCGCTCGGGACACAGTTTTCATCAGGAATCTGAGCCCCATTGTCAGAATTCGGCACCGCCTCTGTGGAGGGAGGAGGGTCCTCATTCAGTGGGGCCTCGGCATGGGACACCACATTTGTTACGAGCAAATTCATTTCAGGTGATACAGGTTCTTCTGGTATTGATTCATCCTCTTCTGCAAAATGATTATGGACAGATGATACAAAATAATAATGCCCAAATTGGGATATATTTTTTTGGATTTTGGTTATAAATGATGCAAATTTTCAAATTTCTTTGATATTCTACTTTTGCAATCACCCTTGACATGACTTAGGTCTTTCTTGTGAAATTATTGACACAAATTTATAATATTTTGTAATGAGTGTCCATGTGTCACAAAGCTAACCCAAGTAGCCTTGTTGTCATCTTGCTCTGCAATTTTGCAAATTGTAAAAAATAAAATTCACTTGCAGTATAAATAAATTCATAAACAGGTGTGTTGAACAAGAAGGACTTAAATGCACTGGCCACTGGCTGTGTTGGATTAGTGGTTTCTTTAATAGAGTTAAAATATAGAAGAAAAAATTTGGGCAGGATTCAAAGTGGCTGCTGATTCCAGATGTTTGTAATGGTTTCTGTTTAATTCTGCCATGAATATATGTACCTTTATCAGGTGCAGATGGGGTTTTCATAGAAGGGGGATCTATGCCGTCCAACACATCTTGTCCTTCAGAGCTTCCATTCAACTCAATTCCATTAATTTCATTCAGCACCTAGCAAGCAAGAAATGCAAAATTGATTTTTATAATATCCTTCAAACAATGTACAATGTTTAATGAAAGATAATTTTTACAAATTAATTCATATGCATTCTAAATTCACAAATTGGGTATGTGGGGAAAAATTCTTTTTTTTTCTGTTTCTTTCTTTTTTAATAGAGAGAAATTACATATCTTCTAAATATCTGTAATAAATTAAAATAAAAAGACATGATGAGTTGTTTCCTTTCATTTTTTAATCTTTAATTTAAAAAACTGTGCACTTTTCACTCAATACCCATTGAAAGGGAGGAAATTTAGAAATAAATAATGTATTGGGAAAATTGCTTTTACTTTCACATCTCTATTAATCCTAAGCTATTTAGAATCTTAATACATTAAATAAAAAGTCAGATGCAGATTTTTTAAAGTTGTTTCCCTTTAATAAGACCCCAAACAGGTACTTATCCCTGAAAGTTTTCACTTGGAAAAAATATTCACTCACTCATGAAATGCTATTTAACTAAATTATCACCACACTTTATAGTTTTAATTTATTTTATCATATTTTTTTTTTACATTTATTTATAAACCACCAAAAAATAAAATTAATAGATCAATGGAAAATATATAGTAAGAGTTGTGCCCCTTTTTGCAGTATGTTTTCTTGAAATATCTAAAAGTTGCTGCATCCAACCCTTAAAATACATGCAAAGAAAGTATACAAGTAATGAATTCTCACTGCTTCCGATGCATCGCTTTTGTCCTCTTTCGCAGTAACATTTTGTTCGATGTTTAAATTCTCGGCGTCTTCGACCTCATTCGATTCGAGTTCGGACATTTTTGGCTGTTTCACACCAAAAAGCAATTGTTTGTGAACTTAAAATTTTTCCAGAATACAATTACAGAATTTTTTCACCTTTCCTCGGATTTTTACATGCAATCACTAGCATTTAAAGATTAGATTCTTTCTTTTCTTTCATGAAGCAAGTCCTACAACCGCATTGTTTTGATAAATATGGCGGCCAGAGCCTCGTTTTCATTTCAAGTCGAACAAGTGCGACTTGCATGATAACGTTGGACTCGAAGTTCCTTTTATACCTATCACGGACTAGCAGACAGTCAAATGACTGAAGTTAAACTTATAAGATTCAGAAAATATTCTGTTTACAAGAACAGTATTTCTCAGTATGAAGATTCATTTTTATATAAAGATTTGTGTTTATAATATTATCATATTGTAGTTTGCTGAATCAATAAATGATTTGGAAATAGCCTATTATTTACACATTTATAATAAATAGACCTAATAATTTTCCATAATACTTTGCAAAATTTTGTGTTGAGGTGGCAACATTTTAAAATTGAAAATCGGCATGGGGACCCGTAGTGTTTAAGGGAAGGCCTAGATATATACACAGGCAACATTTTGTTCGATGTTTAAATTCTCCCTTCGACCTCATTTTCGAGTTCGGACATTTTTGGCTGTTTCAAAAAAAGCAATTGTTTGTAACTTAAAATTTTTCCAGAAAATATAACAAATTTTTTCCCTTCAAACACATTTAATATGTCACTAGCATTTAAAGATTAGATTGTACTTTTTCTCACGTTGTTTTGATAAATAATGGCGGCCATTCGGTATAATAAAAATACATGTATTTTTATTATACCGAATAGGGCCATTCTTTAAACGTGAGAAAAAGTACAATCTGCTTGCTTATAACGACATATTGATGTGTTTGATGGGGAAATTTTATATTTTCGAGGTATTATAAATAGCCTATTATTTACACATTTTTTTCATTTTTCCAAAACTTTGCAAAATTTTGTGTTGAGGTGGCAACATTTTAAAATTGAAAATCGGCATGGGGACCCGTAGTGTTTAAGGGAAGGCCTATATATACCCTTCCCTTGTGACGCAAAAAAAAAAGAAAAGAAAAGAACTTAAAACTTGCCAACATATTTTGTGAAAGAATGAAAGAAAAGCAAACAAAATAAATAGATGAAGTAAATATTCAAAAACAAAAACTAAATAAATGAATGAATACATAAATTAACAAACAAATAAATACATAAAAAAAAAAAAAAATTTCAAACACATATTTTTAACTATATCTTGTCACTTTTACAGAAAAAGGGGGTTATTTTATTTTTTTATTATTCCTGATCTCAAAGTCTTGGTATCACCACCCCAACCCCCGCCCCCTTTACTTCGGCTTAAATTGATTCGGATTTTTTTTCTTTAAATCGGATTCTTTTATAGCGTTTTGTCCCAGATCTCATCATTTACAACTAAAATATTTGTTTGTCCTGCCGGATATAAAATAGAAAATGATTAATATTGAAATTTGATAAAATTACCATATCTTTATTTAAATAATATTTTCCTTGAATATTATATGTAAACGTGGCATTTGAGAAAAAACATATCTAAATGAGGAATTAGTCAAGGCTTGTAAAGAATTAATAAATCAAGCATTTCCCAAAATTATAACCAGAGAACATTGGGCGGCCGTACAAATTCCTTTGTGTGCTGGAAAGTTTTCCGTTTTTATCCGATCTACCACTTTAGTTCCGATTTGAACCGTCTCCTTTTAAGCAAGCACCGACGCCATCTTATACGACAAAGAGTGACTGCAAATTACAGTTAAAATATATCTTTTTCATCATGTCTACGCCAACAAAACCGCCAATGGAAGCAAAGAAAGAAGATTCAAAATCAGAAGATAACAAAAATCAAATGCAGGGAAACAAAAATAACCCAGAACAGCAGGGAAAACCACAAGACAACCGTGGAGGAAACCAACGCGGTGGTCGTGGTGGATATCGCGGCGGTGGCAGGGGTGGTGGCCCAGGCGACAGGAATCAGAGAGGCGGTAGAGGGGGTGGTGGTGGTGGGAACAGAGGCCGCGGCGGAATGAATCGTGGTGGTGGTGGTGGGGGAGGAGGGGGTGACAGACGAGGAGGAAACCAGGGTCAGTTTGGCCAAGGGGGTGGCTTTAGGCAGAATGAACTACAAATGAATGTCATGGCTCAAGATGCTGGCCCCAAAGAACCCAAAAAGTTCACAGGCAGATGTCGATTGTTCGTTGGCAATGTTACATCAGAGACATCAGAGGAGGAATTCAAAGAACTGTTTTCCAAGTATGGTGAAACTGGAGAGATGTTTTTGAATGGGTCAAAAGGTTTTGGATTTATACGCTTGGTAAGGCTTAAAAAAGATACACATTCAAAACCATTTATCTCAGTTTGAAGTGCATAAAGGGGTGCAGAAAAAAAACACTTATCACGGAGGAGTGAAAATATATAGAGGTCAAGTGGTTGTGGAGAAAAAAAAATCAAAATAAGTCTTAATCTTTCTATCTTTACTTCACAAACAGCTAACGTTATAGGGAGCAAGTAAGATCATCATCTGGACAGACTAGTATGATTTATACTTGTCCCTTCGATGTTCAGTCGCTGAAATTTTTGTTCTCTTCGGGATAAAAAAGAAAATCCCACATTTTTTATCATATTGATGAAATATCAGTACATTTCTTTCTTCTCGTTTTCTTTAAACATTTATTTATAATTCAGATATATTTCCTAAGGCATTGAGTGTTGATATATATTTCTGCTTTGTATCTTTAAATTAGGACTACAGACATAACGCAGAGGCAGCAAAGGCAGCATTAGACGGAAGTCAGCACAAGGGGAGAACACTGCGAGTCAGATTCTCTAATCAGGGCTCAGCCATCAAGGTTAAGAATCTCTCTCCGTTTGTTTCTAATGAGCTCCTAGAGATGGCCATGCAGCAGTTTGGGGAAATAGAACGAGCAGTAGTTGTAGCCGATGACAGGGGAAGGTCCACTGGTGAGGGCATCGTAGAGTTTGCCCGGAAACCAGGTGCTCAGCAAGCTCTGAAACGCATAAATGACGGTGTATTCCTATTGACCACGTAAGTTTAATAAACAATGCTAAATAATTGAAAAAAATATTGATTTAATGATTGAAAGTGGAAACAAATGTGTATTCTTGTTTAAACTTAATGTATGCATGTTATAGGTCTCCAAGACCAATTGCTGCTGAAAACTTAGAGGCCAAAGATGAAGATGATGGTCTCCCTGAAAGATTCTTGCCAAAAAATCAACAGTTCCAGGCAGAAAGAGAGAAGGAACCCAGATTTGCACCCCCAGGATCATTTGAGTACAGGTTTGGTCTGAAGTACAGAGAGATTGATGAGATGGAGAAACAGCAGATAGAGAGAGTCAAGCAGGAAATGGACCAGCAGAGACTGAAACTGGAGAATGAAATGGAGGGAGCCATGTTTGATTTCCAGGCTGAACAAATTAGGGCAGGTAATGTACAAACTTGGAACAGGGTATACATGTATATTGCACCTGAAAATAATTACATTTAATCTAATTCAGTATTGAATTTTCTAATTTTACAAATGTATTGAAATAATGAAGAACGACTTTATTCAATACTGTATGTTGATAGACTTACTGAGACAGCAGGAAGAACTTCGTCGTTTAGAGGAAATGAAAACAGAAAAAATGAGGCGCAGACAGGAATTTGACTACAGGTGAGGTTTTTAGCAGAATCAAGAAAACAAATGCCTTGTGTATAATATGAGTTACACAGTAGTAAAACTAAAAGTTCTTCCATATTTTTTATGTTGTTTTGTAATTTAGTGTTTAGAAGAGACAGAGTTTATATTTTATTTAGAATTTATAAGAATAAATGGAAGAAATTATTAAGATGTCAGAGGTTGAATGTAGCATATTTCTAGATCCTTCTAAATAGTACTTGTTTCTTATTCTCTAAAAATGAATATTTCCATATAAATTTCCACTATTGTCAAGTTGTTTTATTGTTTAAAGCATTTACTGTAAATCACTTTTTATTCACGAGAACTTTATTTTCACGTAATTACGTGAGATGGTATCAGTCTACGCGAAAGTTTAAAATTTTTACAGGACAAAATGTCTGGTAAAAATAAAATTTTTACCAGACCGAACAATTTCTTACCAGACTGACTTTTTTCCCTTTAAAATCCATACATCATTACAGGGTTCGACATTCGCGCTCGTCACCTCGTCATTTCCATCCAGAAATGATTTGGGACGACTTGATTTTTAGTCTGGCTCGCCCAAATGACGACCTGGGACAAGTTGGGAATATTTAATAATGATGTTTAATAATTTAAAATAAACTTAAAAAGGCTTTGAAATCATATTTTCCTGAAACAAAACCAATGTTCAAATTGCAGCCGCTTAGATTTTTCTTCCTGCCAAATCTACGTTCGATCAATCAGCTGATGCAATTTTTACCAAAAGTCTTTGATAAAGTTTTATGAAATATTATATATGTCAACTTAGTCAACAATCACCTTAAAATAAAGAGCAATAATCATCATTGTAACATCTTGCATTTCCCCTACAATTTTCTGATCATCTGAGACTGATGATCGTTTTCTGCTGCTAGACAGCCATGTTGGGTGTCCCCTGTAATATAACACCTGAATATTTCAGTCCAGGGTTATTTGACCCTTTTCATTTAGGCGCTCATGGTAATTGAAAATGAATGTTTTAAACTACAAACTTAAGCATTATGAATGTCTGATTCTGCTTATATTTTTGTTTGATAAAATAATAGAAGACATCTTTACAATCCAAAGTCTGGTTTACATTTTTAATACAAAAACACAACTTCTTTAATTATCTCAATTGCACATAAAGTTTTGTTTCATTTAATAATTTATTTGGACGACCTGAAATTCATTCGGGCAACCTGTGATCATACCAAGGTTGCCCAAATGGCGAGGCCAAATTTTGACGAGTGTCGGACCCTGTCATTATGATACTAAGATTAAGGGTGGGTGGGATGGGGCTAATATTCTCACTGTAAAATCTAACCTTAAATAAATCTGAAATAAATTCAGAGTGAAATAGACAAGTAAACTATTTATAATTTTCCTTTTTAAAAACTATCTATTTATGCAATTGCACGCATTCTTTTCTTCATATTTGACTTATACAACATATACACTGTATCAAAGATTCTTAAATCTAATATGCACTTTCAATGCATATTTATTTTTCCTGAAACAGTTCATTATGGTTACTCAAGTTCAATGATCATTTGAAAATAATTTCCCAACCGAATCTACGTATGAGCTACCTAAATATTTTCCCAACCAAATCTACGTTTGAGCTATCTAAAGATCTCTGATCCTTGACAGAGGAAATTCAAGTTAGAATAAAAACGATCATGGCAGGGTTGTAATACATAAAAATTAATCAGGTATTACTGCAAAATTGGTCAAATAAAGGATATTTTTGGGGACTTTGACCATGTGTTCCTCTTAATTTAGATTTATTTGGCCTTATTTTTTATCGGACATTGGTCCTGTATACTGAAATTTTTTACCGACCCGACCTAAATTTTACCGGTAAAAACCGACGGTCCGGTGACTTTCGCATAGACTGTGGTATGCTCGCAAAAATTTCATTCTCGCGTATAATACATTTCCTTAAGATAATATAGAGCAATGACCACAATTCGTGAAAATTTTGTCTCGCTAACAAAGAGTCAATGACTATCTCGCGAAAATAAGGTGTTGCAAAAATTAAGTGATCTACAGTATTTCAATTAGTTTGAAATAATGAGTCCTGTTTTAGGTTTGAAGAAGAGCAGAGAATGATGATGGATGATGACAGACAACAGATGATGAGAGGGGGGCGGCCAGGCATGGACCAGGTTAGTCTACAGACTCTTCACTCTGGCAGATACTGCATAAATTCTTTATGTAACTCTTGTTTTGATGATATTAAAGTCTATTAGATTGGAGGAAAATAATGGCTGTATTCAAATGGTCATGGCATGATTTAAAACAATATTTATCATAAAGTTTACATTGCAGCTGATGCATATGAAGTACGTTCTTATGATTTGTTTTGCTTTCACGAGTGTTAAATAACAATGTAACAATACAGCCAAGCTCAATCTGATCTATGTTATCTTCTAGCCTGGTGGCAGCATGCTGAGAAATGAAGGCCAGAGAGGAGGAGGAGGGGCACCTCTCCCCCCTCCCCCTGCACCCCCCGCAGGGATGGGCTTTGACACGGCTGACCAGGTAAGTCTTTTGTTTAATTCAGAAAACTTCACCATAATATATAGTAATTAAGTATTGAAAATGGTGATGGCAGAAGACTACGGAAAGGGGGTTTGTATGTATCAAACTGAAGAACAACCCAGCCCAGGAAAGAGGATCGTTTGTTGACATCTTACAAAATTGTTTTTCAGCAGCAATGTGTCTGGTTACACAAAAGACAAAAAAAACACCTTTGTCTTGTTATCAACTGATGAATTTTAAAAGTATTACTTTTTCAAGTCACATTTTATAAAGAATCTTTCAAAAAAGTGGATTTCCTGGGAGGAGGGGGGGGGAAGTTGGCATTTTTACAAACAATTCAAGTGACTTAAGTAAAATTTTTATATGTAAAAGCAAAAAAGAGAGAAACCAAAAATATGACAATGAGAAGCATAATTTATGTGTACACTTTGATACATTGTTTCTTGGAAATTATCATTGAATTGTAGATGCAACCCAGGGAATTGGCAAAATTTTTTTAACATTCACAAAAGACGAGAATGTTATTCGACTACATTCTAACTTTGAAGAAAGAATGAAATTATGATGGGTAAAAACATCAGTGTTGAAACGTGGCCCAAGAAATCATTCCCGGACTTAAGATTAGCAAAAATTATAAAGAATGCAAAGAGAGAATGTTTTTAATAGCGCTTTGTCAGGTTATGAAAATAATTTTTGCAGTACGTTAGAGTTCCAAGATGAGGACCTACATGGGCTTCATCATAATTTTATACCGTGAGGGGTCTTTAACATGTTCAAGCATCTTAGTAAATACTATGGTGGCTTGATCAACAGTTAAACAATTTTTAGGGATTATATTTTGCAGAAATATTTGGAAGCCATGGCTCTCCATCGACATTTTAAGAGTGGAGCCATGGCCATTAAGAATGACCTTTTGGGGAATTTTGCAAAACCATTTTTAGTGGTCAAGATCTAGTAATAGACTTTACACTAATTTTTTGTTGCTAGATACATTATGACGTCATTATTAGTATCAACATTCTTTTTCATGTACTTTTACAGCTCTGATAGAATTATGCAGAAAATAAAGTTTTTTCATGGAATTCAATTTGAAATCATATGAAAAGTCATTCCAATATCTATATTAAATTTAATATCATTTTAAGGAAGAGGCCAAAAACATACATGTTACCGTTTTCTGAGAAACTTTAGGCAATCTAGATACATTTTCTTTTTCTGATATGAAAAAAAAACTCCCATTTTCATGACTCGTTTTCTTAATTTTTCATTAAAAGTGACAGTTTAAAATATGATCTTTCATCTTGTTTACCTACAAATTATGCCCCGAAACACCTTATTTGACAAAGCTTAAGTTATAAAGCATCATTAAAGGAATTTATTTCTTAAATTTGATAAATCTGTAGGCACGTTTCATTTACTAGATCTTGACCTTAAAATCATGAAATGTTGAGTTTCTGGACTATCTTATCAACTACAATTAATAGGAATAAAAAAAAAACAAGTTAAGATAAAGTATATTCAAATTCATTTACTCCAAATTTTGGGAGAAATTACTTGAGAGAATTGACATATTCAACTGGGAGAAAATCTGAAAAAGGTACCTTTTCTTGCATAGGGAATGGGACCGATCAAGAGCTTTGGAAGCACATTTAAATATTCTATAATTCAGACATTATTGGAAGATGTAAATACATGTGAATATTTTTTTTTAATCAACCTGAATGCCTGAATATACAGTGGGAAAAAGAAATTAGATATAAATGTGTGTCTTTTCTTATGATGGAATAGAAAAGAAATTTATAAATCCTCTGAGGAAAACTTCATTGAAAGTTACAAGGGAAATTATTTTACCTCCTACTGAAATCTAATGATGGAGTGTCCATCTGTCCAGTACAATTCATGTAGTCATCTCTTTTCTATGGCTACTCCTACATCACCGAATACACGTTAATGGAATTTGCATGAAAGTAGCATTGTTCATCCCCTATTTTACTTTTTGGTTGTTCACCTATATTTTGGTTTCCCATAGCAAAACATCAACACTGTCATTCTTTCTACAACATTGGGGGTTCCCATCCATATCTTATCTGCAACTCCTACTATGCCACTGTATTAAATTTAATGAGACTTCAACAAAATCTTTATTGCATAGTGCCTATAAACATTTTACATTTAGATTGCGCAAATATTTGAGAATTTCTTTGTGTAATATGGGGGAGTACCTATCTCTTATCAACAATGTAACAAACCTTTAACAAAATCTTTACTACACAGTACCTTTGTACATCTCCTTTCTTAATTAATGATTAGACAGATATGTGAGGTTTCTTATAGAAAATTATGGACACTTCCATTCTTTCTGAAATATTGGAAGTGCTCCTTTCTTTCCATTCAAATTCCTGTACCATGGAATAAAATTGAATGAAAATGTCACAGAATCTATTTACTAGTATTACACAATTCCATTTTGCACCCCCTATTTCATGTTTTGATTGGACAGATATTTGTGCTTTCCCTTGGCAAAATATGGACTTCCTTTTTACCCATATGGGAATGGTGATATTTTCTTATGAGACCAGTGTCATGGTACTTATAATTTTCTTTTTGGGAAATAAGTAAAAATAAATAATTGTAATTTTTGCAATTCGTTTTTATCATGATTGTTTGGTTTCTTTGCTTTGTTTTATGGTATGTCATAGCTTTTTTGATTCTGCTTGTATTCATAATTTAAGAAGTAGATATTAAAATTTAGGTAAAAAGTTCAATCCTCTATATAAAGCACATCAAAATTTTATAAATAATAATGAAGTGTTATACACTGTATAAGAAATGATTGACAAATTATCAACATGTTTTCAAATTATATGTGATCTAAATCATATGAAATTGAACTGTTATTTGATAAAAGGTTGAAAGATAGTAATTTTATGTAAGACTTCATTAAAGAACTTGAATATTTTGTATGTGCTAATTTTAAGGTAACTTATTAAAATATTACAATTTCAATTTTATCAAATACAAATCAGCATTGAAATATGAAAAGTCAACCTTGAATTATTAAACTTGCAAATCAACTTTATATCATAAAAATCAATTACAGAAAATTAAAATTGAATAGACATATAAAGAAGCATTGAACTTAAATTTGAAAGGGATATATTAAATATACTGTAAATTTAAAAAAAAAAAAAGGATTTGTAGCTCTAAAATGTCTTTCAAAAAATTATTTTGCTGAAATTTTTACTTTAGAAATTAAAATGGGATATTATATGTCTCAATTTATTTTACAATGGCTAAGAGGTAACATCTTGCCATGCTTTACAAGGTTCTCAAAGTAGTGTAATGACACTCTGGCAATAAAGATTCCTTACAAAATAAGGAGCAAAAATTGTTATTACATTTTTATGTCCCCCCCCCCCCCTTTAGTGTGAACTTTGAGGATCTTGTTTCAGTAATATGCTAGGTGATAAACAATGTTATAAATGTTTACATCTTCCTCAATAGATGCCAAGCAGCTCCTTTGGCAAAAAGGGAGGTGATAAGGGAGACAACAGAACGGTAATGTATCTTGTGATTAATCGCACATAGGTTAAAATATGATAAATCGCTGTGATGGGTGGGTTCATTTTTGTGTAAAATATATTTAATGAACTATGATATATTTATTTTTGGCAAGTGTGTGATGGGTTTATTCACAGTCCAAAATAGCTTAAGGTAAAAATGGCCAAAAAAAATACTTGAACAAAAAATGGCCAGTCTTTAATAAAAGAAGGTCTATTGAATCATATTGTTTATTAAAGGCCTGCTTTAGAAGAGGATGCTCTTTATTAATCAATACATCTGTTTGTCTGTCAAAACATCTATGTGATCTATTGACCTAAGAACCTTTCAATCAATGGGCTGATTAGAGAAGATGTAAATTTTTGGATTAATGGTCAAAATCAAAGTTAAATTGTAACAAAAAACTTGATAAACTTAAGTTGAAGGGGGAAATTTTTTTTATAAGACCAGTTTAATACAAAACCTTCAACATTTTTTAACTTCATTAAAGAATTTTTAATACAGATATTTTGTAATACATATCTGTGAAACAGAGTGTATTTAAACATAACAACCTCACATTTGCTTCACATTAAAAAAAAAATATCAGATTTAAAGGCAAGGTCAGGCTTATATAATGTGATCAAGTGTGAGGCCTCAGTGACTTTTCTAATTGTTATTCAATCTCCCTGCTATTTATTCTTAACTCTCCAACTCACCTGAATGGTCAGGTGAATTTAAGATGTATTTGTGTCTAGTAAGAACCTAAAAAAAATTCCTGCATGTTACAAAAAAAATGTACCATTGATTCAGTACAGTAATATGACAGTATACATTATTCATTGTTATTTGAACCTGTGAATCAATGGCCAAAGCTTTCTACAAAAACAAAAAAGGTGACGAAGAATATTTTGATTTTTGTCCTTGTAAAATTTGTCTGAGCTACAAGTAAACATTATCAATAGCAGGAAAATAGAGGGAGAGAAAAAAAAACATTATTATAAAAGATAAGAAAGATGTTCTCAGATTTTTGCCTTTTGGACTTGAATTATATAAAATCATTGTCTGAAAGTATTGCAATAGTATTATTTTCCAATGTATGGATTATAGATTTTACCAGGTGGTATTATCAAAGAAATATGTACCAATAATTCATGAATTGCAAGAAATGTATGTGGCAAATTATGTCTGTTCATACTATTTCCTGTGCTGTCTAATAACAAACTGATGGTGTTACACATTTATAGTCCCTGAGTAGATGCAAATCTTTGCAAGGGGAAAAAATGAATATCAGTGCTAATTACCAAATTATTAAAAATGTACTGATGTTTATGAAGTGAGTCTGCAAGTTTACATTTTAAGCATGTTAAGATGCCTTATTGGTTTTTAACATCTTATTTTCATGTTTTACTCTCTTTGCATACATAATATTATCAATAATTTAGTAAACAATAACTTTGATGTTTGAATATTGCAACATATCAGTCATATCTTTTGCATCATATTTAAAATGTTCACAGAATATTAAGCCTTACAATGTTGCAGTGATGTCTCAGGAGTTGTGTTTATAATGTGATATAAGTTGTAATGTTACAGAATTTCATACCTTGCATTTAAATTTGCAATTGATGATGGGGTACATGTTGAATATTTGAAAGTGTTAAAGTGATATTCTAGATTTTGGAGCCATTGAATTGCAGATAAAAATATTTGATAAAACTGATTTAGAGTAAAACATGTCATTTTATTCCTTAATTGTCAATGTTGGTGATTTGCTTTAGTATTTTTAAAGGGGAAAAATGTGCTCATTTGTGAAGGAATGAAGTTTGTCATGACATCCATAGAATTGCTGTGTTGTGTAGAAGAATGACATGTGCCATTTTTTTGAAAATTGAAAAATTTGAGTGTTTGTCTTCAAAGTTCCATATGTATTTTGTTGGGGATCTAGCAAACGAAGTTTGATAGTTTGTCCGTCTGTCTGTCTGTCTGTCCGTCTGTCTCCGGTCCATATCTTTCTTACAGAGGGACATTAGAATCTACTACTCCACACAAAGATTGCCCATGACCTAAGGGTGTGTCATAACCTTGACCCAAGGTCATTTGGGGAAGTTCAAGGTCACTGGAAGAAAAATTTCATAATTCGTGTCCGGTCCATATCTTTCTTATGGATAAATTTGGTAGGTTCTCATTTCACATAAAGATTGCCCATAACCCAGGGGTGTGTCATGACCTTGACCAAAGGTCATTTGGGGAAGTTCAAGGTCACTGGAAGAAAAATTTCATAATTCGTGTCTGGTCCACATCTGTCTTATGGATAAACTTGGTAGGTTCTCATTTCACACAAAGATTGCCCATAACCCAAGGGTGTGTCATGACCTTGACCCAAGGTCATTTGGGGAAGTTCAAGGTCACTGGAAGAAACATTTCATAATTCGTGTCTTTCTTATGGAAAAACTTACTTCTGAAAAACCCAGCAGGGGGTATTTTGTCCCGTTTGGACAGTTCTAGTTGACAATATCTTTTCAATACAGGTCCAGAAGAAGGACCTATACTCATCTGAAAACTGATCTTTTTTTCCACAATAAAAGGAAAATTCACAAATGACAAGGAAATGAAAATTTCATTCAGAAACCTGAATTTTCAAATAAAATCATGATGATGTGAATGTAAAAGCTGCTAATCTACTCTTATTTTATCTTGCAACTTTTCAGTTTAAAATTCCAAATTTAAAGGGTGCAGGATCATGTAGGGAAAGGTTCAATGAAATATTGAGCAATGAAACATTGAGCATTATAATAATCATATTGTTCAAATGGAGTAAACTATGATTGATTCCTTCTTGTTAACAAGTTTTAGAGGTGCTAGTAAAAAATATCAGTAACAAATTTTAAATCTAATTTATTTATCTACTAAAGTGCATTGAAATATCAGCACCTGTTCCTGGAGAGAGATTTGTTCTTTTTTTATTTGTATGGTTTGCTATTATTTTGACTTTTAAAGAATGAGTTTTTGATGGAACAAAGCTGAAGGGAATGTAAGCATGTAAACACTGAATCTGAATTGTATGTCTGACATGGCAATACATTCTCCAAGATTTAATTCTTTAGTAATGGTTTTGATGGAATTGGTTTGAGACATCATGGAAGCAACATTGTGGCTTTTATAATTAAATGATGCAAATGATATGCCTGTTTGTATGGTATGATTTGTATTGTGTTGAACTATAAGATGATTTAACCATGTAATATAAAGTTTATTGCAGGAATCAACCAAATGATTGTTGTGTTTTAAAGCAGTGTGTGGAGGGTTCAAATCAAAGGGAAGTAACTGGTTAAATGACAGCGACTTGCAACACTACTATTGGTCTGACAATAAGTTGCTATTTTTTAAAAAAAAATGCTTTTCTGATGTGTTTGTGTCGTAAGAGTCTTTTTATGTTTGAAAAGGGTCTTCTTGAATTTATAAATGAAAATTGTGATGTTATTAAAAAGTAAAACTATATTTGTGATCAATGAAACCATTTCCACTTGTATGGATTCCACATCATAAACTAGAAAAAATATAAACAAATGAAAACAAATATTGATGTAAGACTATGATACTGTAAACATAATAAACACATAACCATCTTTCCCTCAATGCATGTAATTTAGAACTATTTAATAGATACATGTGTACTTCAAGCATACCCGTTTGTTGAAACACAACTGGGGGGATTTTCTATTTTCAGCAAAATGTTTTCTTTGGAAAAATCAGAACTGAATGTTGTCATGTTTGTGTTTTTGAGATACGACGAGGATGATCTTGGATGTAATAATTTGATGTTGTGTCACTTGGGGTTTTTGAAGGCTGAGTTCAACATTTCAATTTTTTTTTCATTAAAGTAGACAATGTCTGTAAAGAGAAAGAGCCACTTAGGGCCTTTTTTGGCCCTGAGAATTTCTGAAAAATTTAAACTGCTCAGTTTAGGTTGAAAATGCAGTATTTATCACTTGGACTGTTAGTGACCATGTATCAATTGAACATGACGTAGTTTTCCCTCAAGTCAATGCATTATGACATCATGAAATGTGTCATTTTCCATAATTCTTTAAAATTCCTTTCAAAATGACCTAAAATTGAAGTATTATTTCAATATTTCATGTCAAACACAACCTTTGATCCAAAATATGCAATTACATAGAGAAAGATCTGTTTCTAAAGATCATAAAACTTTTTTTTTTTTTTGGATTGTGTGCTGTGCTTATATTTTAATTCTTTGCAGAAGGTAGTCAAATACCCATGTTTTCTGCAAAATGCAAGAACTTTGCATTTCCTCAAAGCGTGTTTTCCAATATCTGGATTCTCAAAAAGAAATGTTGTTATAGGAAATGAAAGCACGAAGTGTCTACTTTATTTTGATATGTGAAATGGAAAAGAGGATGATAGTCAATTTATTGATATAAGGATGGCCATTTTATGCATAACGTGAACCTAGCTCTTTTGATTGTTTATCTGTATGTCTGTATAAATCTGGTGCATTTCTGTGTTAAAATGGATATAAGCATTCCTTTTACCAAGTATGATCTGGTGCACAGCTTTAGAATGTATACATTGGGACCAATTGTACACTGCATTGGGTTTAAGTTTTAAACACCAAGTAAAGAAAAAAGAGAGAAAGAAATCATATGGGGTGGGCGGGGATTTAGCAAACATACCATTCAATACTTATCCAATGTGCCAGATAATTCAATAGGCATCAAAATTGCAAATTGAATTTTTAAAAAAGAAGTATAATGTATTTTTGGGTGGTGGGATTGGGGGTTTAAACATAAACATAATGAATCATTGCTGCATTTCAACAGACCATTTCATATCATGACTTTGACAGTTTTAACCTCTTTGATTTATATGAATATCACCAGACCGTAGTGTTGCTGTCCTGTCCAATAGTTACTCCCAGCAATGAGTATGGACCTCTCCGCACATCAACTCTGTAAAGAAAGGTGTCTGGTAAGAGATTATAACTAATAAGTTTTTTTCTTTTCTTTTTCCCCCTATGTTCACTTGGATGCCCTTCGATGATTCCTGAAATGTTCCCGATGTGTGATTTTCTGCCCATTGGATATCCTTCCGCTTAAATTTAAACCTGTACAAACATTCATTCCTGACTCACCTCTGAATGTAAATTCTGACAATGATACAGAGTCGTTTTGATTCTAATGCTGGTAATTTCGGAGGTAACTCATCCAATTTCGGAAGCCACCCAGGAGGCAATGTGCCTAACCAGGGTGGTATGTTTGGAAATAACCGAAATATGGGTGGGATGGGAAATCGAAATGATAGGAGGAGAGATATGGGAAATGTAGGCGGGCCAAGGGATGACTACGGCGATATGAAGAGAATGAGGCGATTTTAATCTAGTGTTTAATCTACATCACCAAAACGCTTGTGAAATAGACTTATTTGACCTATGATCTGATTTTATCCTTGGATTGTTGTCAAGTGCTTGATTTGTAGATGTTCTAGCACTATACATTGGAGAATCTAACGTTCATAACTATGAAGAAGAAATCTGTTTGATATATTGATTATTTTCTTAAGAAGATATTTTATCCTGTAAAATAGATATTTTAATATGGAAGAGGAATACTTTTAGCCATTTCTAAATAAAGCCATAGAAATGGAACTACCGGTATAGACTTTGCTTTTGAAATGAAAGCAAACTTTATTATAGTAAATGTTGTGTATTAAATGAAAGGAAAAAAATCATGCCATGTGTATCTTGATAATTGATGTCATTATTTGTAATTCATTGTATCATACATTAATAAAGATTGGAGTCTATATAAGTCACAGGGGTTTATGAAGTTTTTAATGTGAATAACACTTTAGTAAGTGTTTTTGATATCAGCAATTCTCATTGTTTACCAGCTGTCAGCTACTTAGTAGAAAGAGGGGGTTGCATTTGATCTTCATTCTAGCTCCATTAAATAAAAGCAATGCCAGTTATGTACCATCATATATTTTCTGAGTGGGGGCAATTCAGAAAACTTTAATATTGGCAATATATTTTTTTTGGGGGGGGGGGAGGGGGGTGTTGTTAAGTCCCAGTCGATGTTCTTGGAGAACATGGGGTTGTTTAAAATGATACAGGGGGGGTTTTACCTGTAGCAATTAAACTGAGTTGTAAACCAGCTTTTGAATAAAATCTTTCAAGCACAAAACAGAGGTTAATCTAAAAGGGAGGAGTAACTAGTATCAACTTACTTACTTACTGGAGGGATGGGGCCTCGACCAGGACCAACAAGCTGAGCCAAACCCAGGAGGTCAAATATCTCTTGGCAATTATTTTATATTACTGGAAAATGGACTATATAAAAATTTCCCGTATATAGGAAACAACACTTCTTTTTATATTTAATTACCCAGACTTTGTTTTCCAGATTTTATCTAAATTGCATTTTGAACCTGTAACTTTAGCATCATTATCTGAAGATTAAAATTCACTGAGATTCTTATTGGGCCTTGTAAAATTCTTAAAAAGTGAAGATAGCAGTGATCAATCTCATGAATTCAGTGAAGAATATGAACTGGAAATAGCAGAGGTGGGATCAGTTGCCAATGAGAAGAAGGCATCTTCTGTTGGCCAGTCACACCCATTTTGAGGTAAACAGATAATATTGTCGAAGTTGGTCAATTAGTGCACATCATATAGACTCATAGAGTGCACATAACTATTGAAAATTAATTATTTTTTCTCTCCATGTATTATAATGTCATGCATTGTATCATTAATCCCATTCTTGAACTTTTTTCTCCCAAATTAAACAATATAAAGGGGAAAAAAATAAATCTGCAGTCCATAAAAAAACATACCAGTAAATCAATTGCTCTGTTACGAACATTTAGTGCACATTTTATTTTTTTTCTACATTAAAGATTGTGTTAAATAAAATTGTAAAAAAAAAAAAAAATTGTATATTACTCTGTCAAACACATGAACTCTGCTATTTTACCAAGCCTATGATCCAATAAACTCTAAAAAGTGCATCATTTCTTTGAAAATCTTCTTCTCTGCTCCTGGGTATTAAATAAACTAACTAAGAACATAGTTATGATGACCAAGAGTGCCTCTTCAAAAATTGTGAAATTCATGGCCCCTGGGTCAGTGGTTCTAGTACGTGTTAGGGCGGGGCTCTATTGAATATAGTAAAAGTGCATTATTTCTTTGAAAATCTTCTTCTCTGCTCCTGGGTATTAAATAAACTAACTAAGAACATAGTTATGATGACCAAGAGTGCCTCTTTAATAATTGTGAATTTCATGGCCCGAGGGTCAGGGGTTCTGGTGTTAGGGCGGGGCTCTATTGATTGATAGTAAAAAATTCAAAGTTATCTGACTGTTGCATCAGTGTCTATAAACTTTTAAACCACAAAGTTACAGTTGCCGGCATGGCACAGTAGTTCAAGCGTCTGTTTTAGAATAGCAAAGTAAAGAGTTGATCCTTATGTTGCAAGTTCGAATCCCACTGTGTGACATGGAGACTGGTCTTTCGGATGAGACTGTATATAACGAGGTTCCGTGTTGCAGTAGATGCAGACACAAAAAGAACCCTCACTGCTCAAAGGCCGTAAATGCGAAGTATAAGACAAAAACTGACTCCATCAGCAAGTGGTACTAACCCTGAAGCATTCAATCGACATGTGTTTCATTAACGCACAACTCTGGTCATATACTCAGGAACAATAGTACTTTTTGCATAAAAATGACAGTACAATACATTTCGGATTACATGTATAAGTGTGACCAATTGCTATAATCATCATTATAGGTCAATTGATTAATTTAAAAAATCAGCTATTTTGTGACTGCTATTTGCTTCATGCCAATTTCCTTTTCTTTGGTTTGGCGCCCAGGTTTAGACTAATTTACTCATATGCTGACAATGAACCATACCTTTATAAATCTTTCTTTTTTCTAGAAAATCAGCAGATACACTTTAGCTTGGTGATAAAATGCAATGAAAATTGCAAATCTGAAATATGTCCATAGGATTTTGCTTCATATAGCATTGCTTGCCAGTTGATATTCCACCATGAAATGACTTCAAATACAATGTAAAAATATATATTATATTCATCTATTTTTTTCTTTCTGAGCATCTAGCAAACTAACTTATGCATAGCAATATCAGAGTCTTCAACCAAAAAATTGTGAAATTCAGGGTTTCCTAGATACACAAGATTTTGCTTTCAGGATAGGCCCAAGTTGATCGCCAGTTGATTATTCCACAATGAAATGACTATCAAGGCATATGGGTTTGTCATATTTTAAAAAATTATATGTTACATTCATGTATTTTTTTTTTTTACATCAAACTGGAGGTTGATCGTCGAAATTTTGCATTCATGCCATCTTTTAAAAAAGGAATAAAAAGCAATATAAACGTCATCATATTTATAGGGGAATTTCAGATATTTGTATCGACCAAAGTTTTACATAAAAATATATAGGAAAAATCTTTTAAAAATCTTCTTCTCAAGGATAATTCATTTTTTATGGAATGTTTAACGAAATTCACATTGCCACTGATGTTTCTGTTAAGAAATGATTTTACCTACAATGAGACATACCAAAATGCATGTACTGGATAAGGAAAGGGATTAATTGTAGACCTTCAATGAAATATTGATTTGGATGTACATAAAACTCTAATGATAAGTAACCTTAAAAGGAGAGAGAAGGGGCCTAATTGTATTAAGACTGCCCCTTACCTGTATATTTATGAAGAAATCCAAATTAAAGCAAGTCAGTCTCGATTTTCATCAGGTATGGAGCTTTAAAGTTGAACTTGTGTATTGCAAAGTATTTGTTGTATTAAACTTATAAACCTTGTTAATATGTTAAGCTTGTCTTCTTTTTATGTGTCGTTTTCAGAGTCACATTGGAAATGAGGGATAATCAAGCATTCCATGCACATCTTATATAGGAAAATTCTTTAGAAATATTTGTTTTTTATTTGAATTTGTTTTAATTTTTTTCAAATCATGACCCCCATACTGGCTTTTTAAAGTATATATAGGACAACATTTTCTAAAAAATAGCAAATGTTTAAAAAAAAAAAAGACACATTGATTTGAAGGTTACTTTTTTGAGAAAAAGTTTCTGAAATATTGATTTGGATGTATATAAAATCTAATGATAAGTAACCTTCAAGGAGAGAGAAGGGGCCTAATTGTATTAAGACTGCCCCTTACCTGTATATTTATGAAAAATCCATTAAAGATATAAAAGCCTTGCTCTGGTATTGTATCTCTTGCTTGTTACATGGTGTCGTTTTCATGTTATTCCTAAAAGACTAATTTGTTTTAAATACTCTTGTATTAACACATAAACAAATGTTTAAAAAAAAAAAAGACACATAATTTTTTTTTTTCTTATACGGTCATGTGATTGTGTATCAAATCTCTTGCTTGCTACATGGAATGTTATCCTAAAAGACTAATTTTACTTGCGTATAATTTTTTTTTTCGGTTATGTGAAAACAGAAGAAATGAATTCTGTTGCTTTTAAATTTTACATCGGTCATTTGATTGTGTTGCAAATAAAGGCTTCAACCCAAAATTTCTGAAAAAGTCACAAATACTCAGTATGATGTAGAGTAGAAGAAAGAAATTCCGGAACTTTTAGATTTCATCGAGTTTTTAAGTTGCCTGTAAAGGGTATAAACAGTAAGATGAATGACAAATTCAACCACTAGCTGCTCTAGTTTAGGTGTGTGCATAATGACATTTTTTATATTCTATGTTTTAAGCCACAAATTTTTTTTTAAAATCAACAAAGTTAAAAAAAAAATAAAGAAAGCAAGTTTACATGGGATTTTGCTGATGTATTTCCATTCTTAATATGCCAGTAAATGCCATAATTATACCTTCATGAGATTGTACATTTATGATAGGTCTTGATAAATTTGGGAGTTTCGAGATGCATGTATATTTTGTTCATTTTGGGAGTTTCAAGAGACATATATATTTGTTCAAATTTAATTAATTTTATTCTGTTGAACTAGATTCACGAACAGTTTTTCATGTATTTTTTTATTATAATTTTTTTTAACTTGCCATCCGAGTAAATGTCATATTTAAGGATTTAATAAGGTGCTTAAAGGGTACTGGTAGCAAGCGACACTTGCTCAAAATGAGAAAAATGATGTAACAGGTATCTTTTTTTTTCTTTGACAAGCAGAATTTTTTTTCTAGGTTTATCAACTAAAAAAAAAGAATTTGTAGTTTGACTAGTTTCAGCATTAAAAAAAACCCACATGCTCTTGCCTTTATGAGTTTGGGGTAGCAATTTCATTTATTTTGTAGATTTTATGCTCTTGAAACAAATAATATATTACCGGTAGTTACAAGACAGTGTTCTTGTTTGCAATCCTAGATGTATTTTTTTTCTTTCACAAATTGTCAATACAACATACAATTATGTATGTTTGTGTGGGGTTATAATTATCATTAATTAAAATTCCTTCTAGCAATGCGTGTATCCAGTTTGAGAACAAAATTCACAGACCCCCCCCCCCCCCCCCCCCCCCCCCGATTTGATAAAGATGTTCCTATTGCAAACATGTTGAATAAGAAAAAAAATTGAAATATTACAATTATACAGAATATACATAATACGACACAGATATAGATGAACATTTTATTTAAGACAATTGCTCAAGAATTGGATTGAATTCACATAAATTCTATAATAAGTATAACTCGAAGTTGGCAAGTACAGTAAAATATTTCTATCTTCATTGGCCAAGAAGCATTTGCCCAGTTCAATGGTTAGGTTAGGACTGCAGT